CCTACTTATTTTTATGTTTTTATACCGCACATCTGCATTTCATCTTCGAATAACTCCGATAACGAAAAATGTCATCCTCGCTGACATCACCAAAATGGGTGACAATGAACCTTGTCCGCAACACTTACCTAATTGGTTGGGTGTAGTGTTACTCAGAAAGCCCATGGCAAAAGATAACACATAGCAGTAAACTCCTACAAAAACGGGAAACCTTGGTACATCTTATCTACCTTTACTGCCTTTTCACCAGTCTTTTTGCATAACTTTTTCCTCCAATAAAAAGAAATGAAGCTCTCGGCACTGATCAATCCCTGAGAAATGCTCCGTGCATTTGATTTCGTGCATCGTTGGAGGTTATTGAATGCGTATTTTACCTTTACACTGAATCGCGGTGGCTTACCGATGTATCGAGCCAGTGCCACTATCTTCCTATACAAGTCTGGTCCTAATTTGCCGACTTCGGAGGGATGGAGAACTTGGTGGGCCTGTGGCGCGGAGATCGGTCCCATGTGTATTGCAGGGCCCCTCCGATCACTGCGCTACACGCGCTCCTCGTTCGATGATATCATCAGGAAAGCAAAACTTTACCAGGAATTTTCCATCAATGCATAGGTCTTTCTCTTCGTAATCGAGCGGTTTCATTATCCACTGCAATGCGACTTTAAATAGCTTCCGCTAGATAGCGTCACCTTTCCGAACCCCTTTTCCTGTGTGAGGGTTCGATGGAAAACTTGTATTCTAGTGGTACAGTATCGATAATAATGGAATAAAAGGGTGTCCTTATGAAGGGTTCACTCTTCTGATAACGAGAGCTAGTGGGATTGCATTCATTTCGATGCATTAAAATACTTTTTCATAGTCGTTAAAAGTTAGAAGAAACAGTTGGTAATCCCAACAGACTATTATAACCTGTGATACTGTTTGTTCCTGTCGAAATCCAGCTTGCTGAAATGGTTATGCTTCACCCACAGTCTTGGATATACGCAAAAGCATAATCTTCATGAACAGCTTGTAGAGTACAATCAGCAAGCATATCGGGCAACACTTACGAAGAGATCACCGGTCACGCTTTTTGGGCAGGGTGGTCGAGACCAAAATCCTCCACTGGCTTGAGATTTTCTCCTTCCGAAGGTAAGACGCAAATCAGTACGCGACAAGTTCATGTATCTTGCGGCTTCGATATCGATGTAAGTCGGAAGTAGTGTTGTCTGGTCCTGGGGCTGGGCCTGTCTTCATGGTTTCCGTTGCAACACGAGCTTCATTGGGAAGAAACCTGGGTGTCTATTCTCTAGCGGGAATTCGGAGTTGAGATCCGTGCTTGGCGGAAATGGCATACGACTTTTCGTTATCATTTCCATAACATGGCGGTATGTAGCGATAGCTTCATTCGTATTCATCAGGAAAGATAACGGAACATTATAGTCGCACAGATTTCGACGTCACTTCTTCATACTAGATTGTTTTTGAACCCTGTCTAATAACTTTCTTCCCATGCTGATGTAAGCCCTCCTGTAAGAATATTAACAGAATATTAGAATATATAATATTAAGAATAGACTTATTATTAATCGTATTAGATATATTGCAAAACGATTAAGCTTTTGCTTCCTTCTCTTTTTGAGCAATTCCGAAGTGTTGAGAGAATTACGATCTGAACTCCTTGTTCGGAGAAGCAAATGTTTTAAGTCTTTTGAGAAGCAGTTCCCTCCTTCCTATCGAGTGTTCTTCTACCGGCTAGTCATGTGAGGCGAGAGTTTTATGGCAAATATTCTTGTCCTACCCGACCATCTTATTTTTCTTGGATGATGTCAAGTGTTTTTTATATCCTATTGTTAAATCGAAACTTCGCAAAGAATAGGTAATTAGACCGGGTACAAAATGATGTCACCACGGAGGTGTCAAAAGCACCATCTACTGTTCGTGAAGTACTTCGTGTGAGCCGTGCTATTAGGCCGTTCCATGTTCATCGGAGATTTTCTTTCTTCCGAAAAATAATTTGTCACGTAAGAGATGTGCTTTGGACAGGAGTCTTGCCAGACGGTCTGCATTTTTCATTTCCGGCTCCCATTCCGAATCATCCTATTCTGGATTGATTTTCGTTGGTCCTTCTACTCCGAAATTGAAGTCCAACACCGCATTTATAGGCGAAGTTTTTCTTGCAGATTACGTTCCTCAAGTGGTTGTATGAATCGCCCAGTTCACTCTCATAAGCTGCACAGGTTAACGATAGCAGTTGATGGTATTGATTTTCCTTAGCACCGAGGTTGGGACAAGGATAGCATGGCACTTTAAGCCAGTGCATTAAATGCGACCCATTATTCATGCATATGCAGGTTAATATTGGTTGTATTTATACGAAATGCGTATGGCATATTCATTCGGAAGTCGTTCTGCAACCAAATCATTGGTAAGCATATTAAAGACTGCGAAATCACCTGCCACAGTTGAGTCTATCCATAGAGAGCTCGGCAACTCATGTACACATAGTATCTTGACGCTTTTTGTTATTATCTGATTGACAACATTACTAAGCGTAAGGGACCTCGTTCAAAAACTGCGGTGGTGTTTGTGTCTCTATACTGAGTAGAACCTAGTGAGTAACTCCGCCACATAATAATAGTCAGTGGAGAGTAGCTGGGTAGCGCCTCTTTTAATCCATGGATTAACCGGCATACTCGAAAACGAGAGTTAAACACCAGATATCTCGACTCGCTAATATTTTTTTTTATCGAAGAGAAATCTGGTTTTGCTATAATTCTTTGTCAAGACCACATTAGTCTTTTGAGATATTCGCCAGATTTTGCTAAAGATAATATAGATTACTAGAATTTCTTCCTTTTAAACCAAATTTGTTGATTGCCCATTTTCCTTGGTCATAGAGGAGTCCTATAGATTACAGAGAGAGTATCGATGCTTGTCAAGTTATTTCCGGCTGACTCAAAAGTCGCGTTTATGCATCCTCAATACGCTTAGTCTTAACTTCACTTGTTATCGTTAACTGAATCTTATAATTCCGGAACGTTTTTCTTGTTTGCCTGGCAGTTTCCGTTATCAGAAAGTGCCTTTTTTCTATAACTCTCCTAAGCTTCTAATTCAATGCATTCATGTCTGCACAGCTCGTTATTCATCTGAAATAATGGCAACCGATGACATCAACATTATTGAGCGTCATTTTCTACAATTATCTGCAACACCACTTCCGCTTCCATTGAGTAATAACATAGCCATCAAAGCTCGACCAATTCTTACCTACCAGAGAAGCCAACCAATACTTGTATTTACTCGAGTGTCGATCAGCAGAGCAGTGGTTAGCGGTGTCCTCACATATGGTCTTTGGTTCAAACCTGCACATCGGAGATATCTAGGCTTTCAATCCCTCCTGTATAGGCAGACTGGTACCACTATTGTCTCGAAGGGTGAAAACATTGATTTTAGAAATTGGTAAAAAACTGAATGTGGTTGTTTAGACCAGATGTGCACTCAGTCACTTGTACGGTGCTACAAATGGAGATGACTGAATGCGATACTTTAAGGGATTGATCGTTGTCGAGTGCTTCATCGTTATATGTAATCTCTAGCGGCTGTTGTCCACTTAACTGTGGGTGGAATACAATGAGCGCTAGTAACCGCCCGTTCGTTGGAGTCGTCTGGCAGAGCTGTCAAGTATGCTCTGCTTTCAACTCGATGCATGCGAAGCGTATCATAATTTTGGGGCTATTTCAAGTTCTTGACAAGAAGGTAGCAGCAGGTAACTTTCAAGCTCTATCATGGCACTATTTTTAGCTAGTCTTCTGAATGGAAAGTTTCTACTCCATCTAAATTTGGAAAATCCTTATGTTACGGGAATGAACCCATCACCAATCGCTGCATACGCATGTTCAAAATAGGAACGCTCGCAATGAGGCCATGAACAGTTGGAAAGTTATTATAGTGTAATAAGCAAAAAAGGCGGATAGCGCAGTGGCAATGATGAATGTCATCAAAAGCACGATTCTGTTTCGATTTTGCTCCGGGTTCAGCAATCCTCTCTTTCCTCCTAGGTCGGGAAATTGCTACCGAACTTGGCCAGAAAAATCACTCCCTGCAATACAATTGGGAACACTCTAGCACGGCTATCTCAGAAATCCGGTGAGAATAGATTCGACGAGCATTCTACGGCATTCAAAATGAAATGAGAGTCCTCAAGCGGCAATAAAAGCCGCAGTAAATATTTGGAAGACCCTTAGTGAATAAAGGAAGCGAAGAAACGAATCGAATATGAGAAGTATTGGGACCTGTACGGCAGATGTGAAGACGGGTCGTATAAAAAAAGTGAAAAAAATGAAAATAAAGGTTAAGCCATTTTTAATTCGTTGCGAATGGGTGGAGTGTGGAGTATTTGGTCGAACTTAGCAAGCCACTGGTTCGGCCTCGCCCCGGACTCACCAACCCACTTATCCCTCCGGGATCGGAAAATTGGTACTGAAATTGTCTGAGACGACCCCACTCGTTCTAATCTATGTGGGTACGTCCTAGAACGGCTATCTCAGGATTCCAGGAAGAATCGACTCGTCCCACTTCAACGGCATTCGTGAGGAAGACGATAAAGTCCTCAAGCACCAGCCGAACCAACACTTGAAAAGTTCGAGGAGCTTTTGGATGGTGGATGCGAGGAAATGAATCGGATACAAAAAATATTAGGTTCCACACTCCGTGATACGTGTGATGTCAGGTCATGTAATAACGAACAAAACAAAAGAGGTTCATTTGTATAATACAGTTCTTTGTTTTTTTTCTTTGTTGCCGCCTTCACAGCTTCAGCTTGTAATTTTTTGTTACAACACGAAATCATTAAAGAAAGCTAGGTTTTAATTCCTGTAGCTAATAATTATCATAATTGCTATATTACATGAAATTGGACATTATTAAATAGTTCAGTGTAACACCGCTACTTATCATTATTGTTGTCGACGTTATCATCATTGTTATTGCTACTGTTGTTTGCCATTATTATTTTTTATTTATTTTATCTGATCTGTCTTCGCGTCTACTGTTCGGGTCCCAGCACTTCTCACATCCAATTCGTTTCCTCGCATCCATTGTCCACGAAGATCTTCCAACTTCACGTGTGGCTTCGGTTGCTGCTTGAGGACTTTCAATTCATCTTGAAAGTCGTAGAAACGTGGAATCGAGCAGTTCTCGCTGGAGTCCTGGGATAGCCGTGATGGAGCGTGTCCAATTGGACTGCAGAAAGTGATTTTTTTTCCCAGACAAGTCCGGTACTGATTTCCCGAACCCAGAGGGATGAGAGGCTTGGTTGGCTCTGAGCGGAATCGAACTAACACCATGCTAGTGATTACGAGCATCATTACCACTGTGCTATCCGTCCCTTACCATTATTAATTACTCTGTTATTGTCAACTGTCATTATTATTGCTATTGTTATTATTTGTTATTATTACTAGCATTACATGGCCCGAAATCACATTTCACACTGTGCGTATCCCAGCACTTCTTGCATCCCATTCATTTCCCCTGCATTACCATCTACAAAAAGCTTAGACTTTTTTTGCGTCTTGCTTCAGCTGCTTTTTGAGGATTTCTTCGTTTTCCTTATAAATGTCGTTAAATTCTGTTAGAGTCAGTTCTTCCTCAAGTCCTGGGATAGCCTGGCTATAGCGTATTCATTTGGATTGGAAACCTTATTAGTCTAATATAGTAACTGTTCCCAAGCATGTTTGGCATGAAATGGCCGACTGGGAGAAATGAGAAGTTTGTTTGGTCCAAGGCGGGTTTGAACCTACGCCTGAGTAGGTTAGGCCGTCTGCGCATTGACCGGAATCGCGACCACTTGCTAACGACTCCATGATGATTTTACTAGTCTAGTATAGTAACCTATTTATTTCCAGTTGTACTAGGAAATTGGAGTGGAAAATAATATTCACGTGCTTATTTCCTTTGGGTGTTTAGAGGTCTCTTTTTTCGTTGATAGTTTAGTCTTGTAAAATTACTTGAAAAACTGGTTTCATTTCAACTTAAATGAACGAGTACATAGATCGTTACGAAGAACTCATTCGTCTTGACAGTACCGTTTCCTCCTGTGCGACTTTTTCCGCCTTAACATTTCTTTCTTTTTACCGTTCACCTGAAGTTAATATTGAGCAATAACAGCAGCACCAGCACTATGTGTTTGTTAAGGCGACGTCGGTAAGTTTTAGGTTATCCAGCAAAGAATCCGCTTGCTGTACCCAGCGCTGCTACCATTGTGTTTCTCCCACACTCACCGCCGTAACAATCGTGTATTCCCCACGCTTAGGTTGCCTCTGGGTGAGCGGCGAAGACGGTTTCGGTTTCACTTGTCTCACGCCTAGCCTACTTAGACGCATTGAGATCAATTTCTCCGAACCAGCAACTAAATTACAAATGGATGATTCATGTCAACTTTCAAGAAAGATTTCTTTTTTCTTAATTTTTTTTACCGAAGTCATCTACACCAACCGTGAACAGCCGGTGACTGGTCCACTCCGTAGAGGTCGATCATTTGCCGCTAACTGGTCCATCACTTTGCTTAGTTCTCTTGTCATTAGAGCTGTTCTGTGAGCTATTTTTTAGAAGCCACCCAATAACTTTTGTTTATTACCGTTTACATGACTTTCTTCTTAATGTTTAGTTTCAATTTCGCTTTGTCGCTGACAAGGAGAAGACTAGTGTTGCAACTATTTGTGGTAAACTGTTATTTCTAAGGCTAATGAATGCACCGAATAATTATTTGTCCCTAAATATAAACAGTTTATCGAGTTTTACTTTGCATGGGAAAAATGATCAAGAAGAAATCCCTTGTTCTTAGAAGAGACAATTTTTTTAATCGTAGGGTCTCCAGCCGGTTGTTAAAGAGATTTTGTTAAGCTTACTCATACGAACTTCAAGACAAACGAAAGGACCTCTATGAAGCAGGTCGATTCAGTTCATAGAATCCTGTAATTAATGTATCGGATATCGACTTACAAAGGGTGAAAAATAAAACACTTGACGTTGAACTCTCCTTTGTGGAAGTGCTATGCATTCGACTCCATTCGTAGCATCATAGAGGTGACTGAATGCATAGTTTTCCTATATAACGACCTTCAGTATCCCATTAGTGTATCTAACCAGCGTTTTTATCCAGAAAAGTTCGATGTCAATTTTCTGGTCCCTAAAGTATAACCGGGTTGGTTAGATCGCCTGTGGGACGAACCAACAACCATGTTTGCATTTCAGGGCGCATCTAACCACTGCTCTACACTTTCCCTGTTCCCGCCAATATACTAGCTTTTTATGCATACATACATGGATATGCAGACTAAATCATCGGAACGTTGTCACTGAGGCATATCTGGCCAAAAAGTTTGCGGTCGACTGAATTAGTTGTGCACATAAAACGCGGTTTGCTGCCGCGTCCTACCAAAAAAAAAGTTTGGAGGGAAAAGTCCGATAAGCTAAGGAGCGTCACAACAGGCACAGTTCTGGCAGGCAACGGAAAAAAGTTGAGAATCCTCTGGCATCTGGTAGAATCAGAAGACAATTAACAAAGCGGCAGCTCATAGAGACGGTTTACTTACCACTTCGCGTACTATTGCTGTAGTCTTGGTGAGCACTTTCACATCCCAAGAATGTAGTTTTCGAGTGTTCTCCATCTCCACCTTTGACATGAACAAATGCGTTATAGTTTTAGAGGTTCTTCGGATATTTTGCCTAGATTGCCAAAAAATAAACATGCAAATTGTAAAGTTTTTGCACGTATCAGCTTTTAAAGTGCAGAAAATAGTTTTCTAGCAAAAATTAAATAGAGGAGGCCGAACAAATAACTCAAATAACCACAACGATGCTGAGATATTTGCAAAATTCCGGACCACAGGTGTCTGCGGTGGGGAACGAACGCGCTATTGTCCATTACGGGGACCAACGCGCTCACCACAACACCATTCGAATCCTTCATTTCGCCTTTCTCTTGGCTAGTTTTATCGATCACTGTTATCATCCGTTAAACCCAAATAGTTTATCTTCATCTTCAAATACCACCATTTTTAAACGTCAGTGTTAAAGCGAACATGTACTTTTCGTTTTAAAATACTTGGTTAGATGCTTAACGACTCGCCCTGGACGTGCACACCAGTACTTCTATTTGTTTCGTTATTTTGCAAGTTTAGTCATAAATCGCATTTTTCTTGTCAGGATCTCATTCATGTTTCCACCTTAGATTGAAGATCTATCGTGCTCTGTTTTCACTTGGGTTTTCAATCCTGGTTGACAGCGATTTTTCCACATAACTTCGAGATCACCTGGTTTGAGTGTCTTCACCACACTATCGCTAATCCTTGTGGATTAGAGGGAGATCTGTTGCGAAGTGTTAGGTATTCTTCCATAACGGCAACGACTCATGTGACATCAACATTTTTTATGACTAACTTGGCTGAGCAGTTAAGGACGATAAAGCACGTCAAATAAATAAAAAACAGACAATAAAGCGTCCGGCATTGATCAGTTCATCAGAGATGCGCTATGAGTTCGCTTTCATTCATAGCATCTTGAAGATCACTAGTTACATATATTTGACCTATACATTAACTTCCGGTGCCCTACGAATGTATCAAATTACTCTTTTTGCTCCCTCTCAACCAAATCCGGTATTAATTTGATGATCCCAGAACGATAGAGGATTCCCTTGCTTTGGCGTGGAATCGAACCAACGATCAGGCTTATATAGACTTGTATGCATCGTTCATCATTGTATACGCCGTAGTCGTCCTGTACAGACGTTTGTTTAGGTCCATTCAACAAAAACAGTTTATAAGAACATATATCACCGGTCACCTGTAGTATCACCTGTAGTCTTGTTGAGCGTCGTGTGACTCGAGCGGGAGCCAGTAAATCTTCCATTTTTCCCTGTCGCTTGCAAGGGTAGACCAGTGGGTTCTGCTCGCTATAGCGAGTCGTCGAGCATCATATCTTTCTTCAAGGCTCTTTGTGAAGAACTCTGACCATCGAGGCGGTAGTCTTCCTGCAGTACGTTTGATATCCCGAGGAATCCAGTCACTAACTGTTGTTGTCCATCGGTTGTCATTCATACGCATTGCGTGTCCGGCCCACCTTATGTTCGACTGTTTGGCGTACAGAACGGCATCTTTGATTTTTGACCGTTGACGCAGATCGGAGCTTCGGATCCCATCCTTTACTTGTGTGGAACGGGATACTTCTAGCATCGTCCTTTCGACTGCGCGTTCGATAACGCTTTCATCCTGCTCACGCAGCGACCAGGTTTCTGACGCATACGTTAGGGCAGGAAGTACCGTTGAGTCGAAAAGGTGGGTACGGAGTCGGATGTTCTTTGTTCTCATCACTACATCCTCGTTGCTCTTGAAAGCTCCCCACACCGCTCGTTTTCTTCTGCTCAGCTCAGCTCTGGAGCTAGGCCGTTCATCATATTGATTTCCCGACCTAGATAGATATAACTGGAGCGTTCGGAGACATTCGTTCCGTTGAGCATGAATGGGGCATGCGAAATCAATCTGTGCTTCATGAACATCGTTCTTGTGAGATTTAGTCGAAGGACAATCTTTCCACAGGCTTTATCAAAGTCGTCGAGCATACGTTTCGCTTGGCTAGTGTTTGGTGTTATAAGGACGATGTCATCAGCAAAGCGGGGATGGTGTAACTGCCGACCATCGATTTTCACTCCCATATTATCCCATTCCAATGTTCGCATGGCGTTCTGGAGGGTGGCGATGAATAATTTTCGCGAAATGATATCGCATTTCTTAACCTCTCTTCTGACGTCAATGTTAATATCGTTGTAGAATGGTGATACCTTGGTTGTGAAATTTTGGTACAGCTCACGAAGAATCTTTATGTACTGAGTAGGGACTCCTTGACTATCAAGGGCTTCCAGGACTGCTTCTATATCAACTGAATCAAAGGCCTTCTGTAAATCGATGATAGTGAGACAGAGCGGTCTTTTGTACTCTCGCGATGCTTCATTGAGCCGTGTTACCGTGTGTATGTGGCCCATCGTACTAAATCCTTCTCGAAACCCTACTTGCTCACATGGCTGCCCTTCGTGCCGTGTTCTGTCAATCTCGTTTAGGATGACTCGAATGAAAAGTTTGTAGACGACAAACAGTAAGCAGATTGGGCGATACTTGCCGATATCGTGTAGGTCACCCTCTTGAACACAACACGGTCTTGCTGGTGTTCCACTGAGTTGGGACCTTGCGTTCAGACAGGTAACATGTGAGGAGCCGAGCCAGTGTGTTTACGAGAACTGGCAGAAGGTTTTTTAGGTGTTCTGGTCTTATCCTGTCCGGACCTGGTGCTGTTCGATTCTTCACCGACGAACTGGCATGTCAGATTTCGGAAGGGAGAACCAGAGAGAACAAAAACATATATAGATGTATTAATCACGTTTGTATTATAAGCCATCTCTATTCACTGCGCTATGTGCAACCTTTCACCTGTATTACCTATCGTTTCATTGATATTCGAGCGACTCAGGCGGACGCCGTTAAGCCTTCTATTTGTCCTCGCCGTGCACAAAGCTGGCCTAGTGAGTTCTGCTCGTTCTAGGGACTCGTTGAGCATTATATCTTCCTTAAAGGATTTTCATGCAGAACTCTAAGCATCGTGTTGGTGGTTTTCCTACTCTGGGTTTGACATTGTGAGGAATCCAGTTGCTAACGGTTATTATCCATCAGTTGCCGTTCATACATATTACGAGTCCGGCCCAGCTCACCTTGACAATTTGGAGTGTAGAGCGGTGTCGTCTATTTCTGATCCTTGACGTAGATCGTAGTCTCGGTTCTCCTTCTTCATATGCGTGAGACAAGTTACTCCTAGCATCGTTCCTTCGACCGCACGTCCCATAACGCTGAGTGGTCTTTCATTAGCGGCAAAGCTGTTAAGGTACGGATAATGGTGGAGTCAAAAAGGTTGGCACGGGAGCTTTTTGATTTACTCACCACATCCGCGTTGCTTTTGAAAGCTCTCCAAGCCGTCCACTTACCTGCTCAACTCTGCAGTTAAATCGTTTATCGTACTGACGTCTTGATCTAAACTGATCTTTACAGACCGAATGTTCTTCGGAATACACTGGTAACATTAATATTTCTGCTGTCACTCGCAATCTTGACAGAACATGGGCGGTACTTTTTTAAATTTTCGCCCTTATAGATTCTAATCGCTATAGCTGATTAGTTATTTAATTACTCACTTACATCGATCCTTGATGGCTCGTCTTCACTGACACTGCTGGCTCTAGCACAATTTCCATTCGTTCCTCTTTGTTGTCGTTGTCCGTGGTGTTGGTCTTCTTCATGCATGGTAATGTTTAAGAGGTCCATTTCGTAGTCTCAAAATCGTTCTCATTTGCGAATGCAGGTGGTTTACGTTGTTCAAAAAAACGTTCGCCCATCGTTTAGGTGGTCCTCTCAGAGGACGTTTGCATTGTGTTAGAGTTCCCTTCATTCTTTTTTCTTCCATCTATGATCTGTTCTTCTTACTGGGACTGGTTCATCTGCGTTTTATTATCGATGTGTGTTCTCACGGATCCTGAAGATGGAAGAGGTTTCGAATAGCCCACGTCTCTGCAGCATACAAGAGCGCTAGGAAAACCGTTGAATCGAAAAGGTGAGCTCGGATTTTCGGTTTTTCAGTTGGTCGATGGGTTCTTTGAGACGCCCGAATGCGGCTCGTGCTGCTTTCTTTCTTATGTCCTATTTTTCTTTCATGTTGTATGTGTAATGAACGCGTCTGGTGCACGTACGAAGTGGTTTCTGGAATCAGAAAATCAAGTTCAATTTATTCACCTTGGCGCTGTGGGTTCATCATGAACTGTGTCCTTGACCTATTAATGCGCAGTCTAATCGTGTTCACGAAGGCGAAGCTACAACGTCGAGACGAACAACAATCATGGACCATCGACTCGGATCATTGGCTCTGAGGAAGACGAAAACGTCGAAACGTTAGCCGAAAATAAATATATTTATCAACCTCGTGCAAGCTTATCAAGAAAGAATACATATGTGTCAATAGTCCTATCTCTGTAGATCAGGGAGAATAACGAGACATTCTAGTCGCACAGATCCCGGCAGCACTTCTTCAGACAAGATCGTTTTGAACTCCTTCCATTAACTTTTTGCCTATAGCCATTTAAGTCCTGCAAAAATATCTTGCGGCTTGTACTTATTATCAACCGTATTAGATATGTTGCGGACGGATTACGCTTTTATTTCCTTTTCTTCTTCAGCAGTTCCTTAGTCGTAATGGAGCTGCAATCTAAGCTCTCGAAACTCTTTGTTTGAGGAACTATGCAACGCTTGGCAATTGTTTAAAGTCTTCCGAGAAGCAGGGCCTTGTTTTCTATCGGATATTTTTTATCTTCTCGTTATTTGAGAGGTGAGCTTTGTTGCAAATATTCCCGTCTCATGCAACTTGTCATGTTCTTTTTGGATGACGATAAGAGCTGTTTTGTAGCTTATTGCTTTGCCGAATCTTTAAACAGAGATGATTAGATGCAGAACAGAATGTTGGCACCACGGAGGTGTCAAAGACTCACCGTCTTCAATTCGTAAAGATCTGTACATGAGTCGTGCGTTTAGGGCTTAGTCGTTACTCCCATGTCCATCAATTTTCTTTCATCTCGAAGAATGAATTTCGATAGAAGAAAAGTGTTGCTGCAAAAATCTTCTAAAAAGGTTTTCATTTCCATTTCGACTATTTCTTCTTAATTACCATGCTTATTCATTTCCTTTTGCCTCTTCTGCTCTCACATTGAAGTGTACAATGGGAAATTTATAGGTCTTTCCGTTAGAGATTACTTTCTCCAACTGGCTCTAGAACGCATCCACCTTGGTCTCGTCGTCTGTACAAGTTGGTGAATAGTATTGTTATTGACTTTGTTCAGACACGAAAACTGTAGACGAAAAATGGGCAAAAACAGCTCTTGCGGTGATTGGATTCCATATAATGAGACTAGATAGGAATAGATGCATGTACGAAAAGGCCAACATCTGCGACATATCGTAACGGAAATTTCCCTCAATGAAAGACAAAGGTTCCGTAATCTAATTTAGTGTATGTCGGTCTTGTTGCTTTTCGTCTGTTATACGGCGAGCACATGGAATTCAATGCCGTCGACGTCTTAAGAAACGGCTCCGCTGTTATAGGAGCAGAGTAAAAATCAGTGTCCATTGCGTTTCGTGAATGCGCTCGTTTTGTCCGTTTCCAATGACCTCCTGTGTAGCCCGAGATTTGATCGCCTATCACCGGTTATATCGCCACACAACATCGTTGAGGGGAGCGGACAGTATACGGGTTGCTGAGGTGGAGCTTTGCTGGTTGATCTGTTGTGGTTTTCTCAACAGTAGCCCACCTAGTTTAAGACTTCCTGACGTCATCACCATCACAGACCGTCCTCACTGTTGGCTGTTCTGGATCGGTGAGCAGTTCGTACCTTGCGAATAATTTGATGCCAGGACGGAGGTGATTCCTGGTATTAGTTTTTTCTTAGCTGGCTTTTGGATGAAGCGTGAAATAGTTATACTTTTTATTTCATTTTATGCAGCCCGTCTTCACATTAGCTGTGTGGATCTCAACACATCTCACATTTAATTCGTTTCCTCGCGTCCGTTATCCACTAAAGTCTTCCAACTTTTGTGGCTTCGGCTGCCACATGAAGATTTTCATTTCATCTTGAATATCGCAGAATGCTGGTCGAATCGATTCTCCCTGGAGTCCTGAGATAGCCGTCCTAGGGCGTCACCACTTAGACTGCAGAGAGTGATTTGTTTCCGGATAATTCTGATACCAATTTCCCGACCCCAGAGGGAGGAGAGGTTTGGTGAGCCCGAAGCGAGATCGATCAAGCACCGTGCTCGTGTTGACCAACATCACTACCACTGTGCTATCCGCTCCTGGGAAATAGTTACATACAACTACTGAATAGATGGCATCGCGCTCGTCAACCGTTCCTCTGCACAGGTTCTTTTTTGGTCAGATAATTGGTCCTAAACGTGCGTAGGAAGCTCTCTTCGTTCTTCAAGACCTAGAAACGATATATCACGGCTACCTGAAAATTCCAAGAAGAATAAATTCAACCAAAATTCAATAAGATCGATAAAGAAGATCAAAATAGTAGTAGCTAAACCTGCATGCAAACTCGAATACAGGGACACGAATGGATGCCAGTTGCAAACACAGGGACAAGGTACGATGAAAGGGACACGCGGTATAGAACCGAATGGAAAAAGTGGTGGGATCAGCACAATGTGTGACGTCAAGTTACGTAAATGTAAATAAGTAACTAATTAAATATAAACGTTGTTGTTGATCCTAATAAGAAATTTTTCCAACACCATTTCATCGCGTGTTCTCCTTTTTTCCTTCTTACTGTTGGGAAGTATGATATCTTTCATTAGAACCTCCGGGAGTCGTAAATGGTTTAATTTTCCGACGAGACATAAAAATTCGAATCGATCTTCATTTAACTTCTCCGTTGAGCCTTTCGTGTTGTCGACACCCAAATATCAGCTGTTATGCCATATATTTACCCACTTATTTACGTATTTATTTGTTTATTCATTCATTCATTTTCATCCATTCATCCTTTCATTCATTACAATCATTAAGCCACGTAGTGTTGGTGTCCTTCTATAGTAGAACTGAATGCCGCAGAATTACACCTTTATTTCTACTTTTCTTCGTGAGACACTAACCAGAAATACTTTCCCTGACTCTGTAGTGTCATATATTCGTAGCCGTGCTTACGAATAAAATCTACGAACTCCTTTCTGAAGCATCAACTCCTGTGGTGCCTGCGACAGCTCAACACTCAACAACTACGATGAGGCGTTAAACTATCGGAAGTTTTAGAGTCTTATTTTTATCCTTGCAGCACACTATGAGTATTTACCATAGATTTAACGCTGACATCGAACGCTTTATAAGGAACTTTTTAAATTACCGTCTTCCATTTTATGCTTACTGTACGCAGCTTGCGGTAAACACTATTACTACAGTATCTTTTCGATAGAGCGAGTGTGGCGCAGTGGTCGGAGGCGCCCTGCACATACGTGGAATTTATCCCTGTGCCCATGGCCCACCAAGCCTTCCATCTCTCTGAGGTCGGCAAATTGATACCAGACTTGTTTGGAAAAGTAGCAGCACCGGCTCGATTCATCGCTAGACCAACTCGGGTCATTGCAAAGGCCAGATATGCATTCAGTCATCTCCAAACGATGCTTAATGAAGCGGAATGCATGGCATGGCGTATCCTCCGGGAATTGATCAACGCCGAGAGCTTTTATCTTTTCGATCCGGCACTGTTTTTATGTCCTAGAGTATGTTCAACAACCTTCATATACTCGTAGTTATATAAGTTCACAGTTGGCCATAGCACACTTTGTAATTTACTGGAAGATTAGTGTTACCATTACTTTACTGTAGGACTGACTTATTTGTCAAGTTCTCTATTTCATTACCTTTTACAAATAGCACGCTAGTTTTTAAATATCAAAAGTTGCTATTCTCTACCGTTATTTTAGCACTAAGGATAGCCAGTTTTTCCGGTAAGCGTTTGAAATTTCAGAAATTTTCCTTGCAGATACGAATTCTTGAGCGACAGTGGTTTTATGGAAACAAACAGCAATGTGCGTGCAGAGGTAGGTGTTATGTTTTTGCATACTCTTTTAAACATAAGGATAGCTATTTTTATTGTAGATGCTTGTTTGAACAAACAGACCTTCTTCACCAGCTGTGTAATTTAATTAAAGTCTCTCCCAACCAAATTTTGCTTTGATTACCGTTCTTCTGCGTTGAAATAACCACACCATGGCCTTTCGTGCAACTTTACCACAAAAACGACGCGTCTGCAGTACACAAGGCCTTTGGCGCCATCCATAAACTTCACCTTAGCGCGTTTACCACAATCAGAGAGCACGACGTGGAAGTGGCTCCTAAGTTTTCTCTTGTCCAATCTTCGAACTTGTCAGTTTAGTGCAATTTCAATTTAATCTACAGTACAAGAACATTAAAAACATCTTTGATTTTGTGCCGGTGTTTTTTTTTTCTACCTTTCTGTATCGTTCTACCCTCGTTCCTAACGAAATCGCCATGAGTACAGTTGGAATGATTAATGATGGAGTTTTTTTTCTCAGCGATTTTGCGATTTTTATCTGTAGAAGAGCTACTTCTATTGTTTTTAACGAAACGTTTCAAACAGGACTCCTCATCAGACGTTGAACCTATCGAGGGACAGTTACGAAGCTTCGAGTATAAACATGGGTCATTCGTTGACAATGGATATGAGTTCAAAGGACTCGGAAGAGCGATTTCTAGAAAAAGAGGTAAGCTGCCAATAGAGGTAGCTGGTCCTGGTTCCGTTTCGACTCGTCCTGGGCTACCACGTTCCACTAATTGAGGTTGAGATGAGACTCGGCCTAGATAACCATAGTTTACGGCTTAGCTCAGAATCAACCAGATCACCATCTTCCTTCTCTATGGTTTTTTGATTCCTACATCAAGAGTTTTGTTTTCTGAGTACAAAATTTACGATACACTTAAATAGCGATGTGCAAAATCTGCATTTTAATTACTATTATGGCGCCACTGGTGCCTTTTTTTGAAAAAATCTACTTGGTTTTAAATCTTGTTTACTCTTGACGTTTAAGATGAAAATCGTCGAGCCACATGTCCTGAAATCTATCTACAACCGGAAACCAGTTCTCCAACGCGCCACGTCGTCGTTCGAATATACGGCAGTCGAAACAGTGGCAAAAAAACACTCGCACATCAAATTCACCATGTTGCCTCGACCACGACACCCAATCAGACGCATTTCATATGTGAGTGCTCATTGTTTACTTTCCGCTCCTTAAAGATAAAGTGTTTTTATTAGGGTTTCATCGTTGCTTGATAAACTCACCGGTTCACATCCACCAGCCATACTGCCGGTGTCCTGCAAATCACAGTCTGCTGAATCTGCTCATAAACTTGTGGTTCAGCCCCTGAATGATTTCCAAAAATATTCGCTGTTTGTGGAGTACGTGTAATATAGTTGTTAGACGCTTTCTGCCAAACACATATGGTCGTTGATTCGGTCCGGCGTCCCAGTCAAACCAAGCGCTTCATGAAGTCGTGCAGTTGGCACCAGTCTTCTATGAGAGGATGAAAGCACAGGCTTGATAAATCCATGGACCACAGAAAGTTATTCTCCAGCATGCACTTAACTACCTCTACAACTCTACGAACGAAGTCGGATGAGCCGTATTCACGACGCACCCGTGTGGATTTTGACTCGTTAATACCGAACTTATCTTTTATCCTTTATCAATTATCTGTGCCACATTGGCCCACGAAGACTGAAAACTGTTGATTATCTGGCATCGTTACAACAGTGAATTCAGCGCATTATTACAAATTGACAACCTATTCGCTATTAGCACTAAGGACCAATTGTTGGTTTATTTCTATCGTTGTTGATTAATAAGGTGTTCATGGTAGGTTCATCACGCTCTGTTGTGGTTTAGAAACATACTCTTACCTTGGATTCTAAGTAGAAATGTTGGGCTTTCAGCTTTACAGTTGCTATTGGAAGAAGGAACTCTTGTTTTATATCACAGTTCGACAAACAGGAACACTCACTAGTAATCATAAGACGGTAGGACCACCGGAGGTTAGAGCACTATCTGATTTGTAAATGTCGGTGTTGATACAGGTGGTCATACATGCATCCTGTTCTCTAAATTTCAGCACTATTGCATCTTTTTGATCATTCACCTAACTTTTAAACAAACAAGAAGTGACCACATTCAAGAAATTTTGTAGGGATCTGTAACGTCTCACGACGACTGCGTCTCTTATAGTGGCTGTTTGCTAGCGCCAGATGGGCTGCTTTTTATTATTATCTTGTGTTATTAACATCTGGCGACTGATGCGTCCTATGACATTTTCCATGGAAGTTCTTAGCTGATTTATTTTTAAAGTATAGCTGAAAAGACTTACTTTCTATAAACCTCGGCATAAATAATCGACATATTTATTTATGGGCCCTTAAGAACTGGTCTTGTTGAGCTGATGCGAGGTTGTCATTGTTGTTGTTGTTGTTGTTGTTGTTGTTGTTGTTGCTGCTGCTGCTGTTGCCGTTGGTCGACGGTTGATGGTTAGCACAGTTCCACTCGTAACAGCACGGCTCTGAGGAAGCATCAACCATTTTAAAGAATGTTATTGTGGGGCTGTTTGGTAGAGCAGGCCCTTGGTTGTTATTACACTATTTATTCGCAATAGCTGATGTTTCCCTTTCTTCAGAGCCTGAAACGACGAATTGGCGGCGGTCTACTAAGCCATACCCTTCCATAACCTCAACAGAAAAAAAACGATGCACAAATTTTATTCGTACGGTATCCCATCTGGGTTCTTCATTGCAGGAACGCATTTCCCATCCAAGTGTTCTTTTTTGTATACGGACGTAGAGTAGTTTACAAGAAGTTGGATAGACCATACCTGAACTCGTGCATTCACCATTTCTACCGTTAGGGCATGCTGTGCAACTTTTAGCTGTGCATAGACGGTCGAATAAGCGGTTACGAACCAACTGGCATTTGAGAGTGTCCGGTGGTATTTCAACCACTGTTACCAATTTATATAGATCGTCTTTTTTTTAAAAAAACCTCTTTATAACAGCACTTCCTTCATTTAAAATGAATAGCAGGTTGAACGGTTCTCTGTTTTCACCAGTTTTCGTTTGGGGCGTGGCTTTTCCTGTAAACCTATTCTGTGTACCCACGGTTTCGTAGCCAATGAAATAGCTATTTTTCATGCCAAGTCCAGAAAGCTGCTGTTCGAAAAGCATTTCTTACAAGCGCCATTTGTGTGTGAAGGATGAGAGGAGGAGTAACGGACCAATATTTTTTAACTTCTATGCCTTCGTTTCGCCTGTCTCTCAGCTATTTCTATCGATTTTTTGCCATCAGCAATCACCCGTCAGCGGGATTGATCTGGGGTCCTAAATCGGCAACGAACCCAGTTAAGCTGAGGCCGCAGTTATAATCACAATTTTAACTTATCTCAGTATCACTGAAGTTATATTTTACAATGTATACCCTGCCGTTAAAAAGAGTAGGCAGTAAATAATAAGTTAAAATTGCAATGTTTTAAAATTTCTTGGCTTTCGGTTCCACTTGTAATTTGGACATTTTTGTATAGGTTTATCCAAACCTTCAAAAATGAAAGTCGGTTAAAGGAAGTTAGGACCATGAAGAAAACAGCGATTTATTTATCAATGCCGAAGTTAGTAGAAAGTCGGTCGTGGGAGTTATTTAGCAGTTTCTAGGGAATTATTAGTAACAGAACACGACTAGCACAAATGATTTGATCCCTTCAAAGTTTTAAGAATCACTGGACAAAGAAACTAGCAATGTCTTCTTTTGCCTAACTCGCAATTGAACGATGACGAGTTTATTTGCCTTGTGAAACGATGAATAACGAGTGAAATTGGATTCCACTTTTCCGTCTTAGTGTGCGTCATTGTTGTTTTTGATTTACACATTTGTATGCTGTACTTCCGGAAGGTCTTAAATCTCATTCTCACAGAAAAACTATAATTTCGGCTCCGAGGAATTGCCGAAGCCGTTTCCGATGTTGTCGATGTCGTTGAGTTTTCCGTTGTTCCGATGAGATGCTTCAGAGGTTGGTGCAACTTATAGATGGGAAACGCTATGCTGTGAGCAGACAACGGTCGTTCAACCGTCTGGGTCCACTGCCCTGAAGTTGACTTTGCTATGTGTGGGCTGTAGTTTGTTATGTGAAGGCAGGAATAATCTTCTTTTCGTTTCTTTCTAAAGAATAGAGATCTTCACCAAGTTGCCTAAGTGAATTGCCTAAATGACGCGGCAACAAATTCGCTAAAAAATGCTTCTGTAGACAAATATGAGTTCCACCTTATCTGTCTGATAGCTTCTGCTCTTAAACCTTTTTTCAGCTGGTGAAACAGAAGAGGCAGAGCCGCGAACAAGAACTACTAATTTCCTCCTGAATGGTGAAGAAGTGCAACTGGAAACTGTAATGGAATCGACGCTTGAGGTGTGTACTAAATAGATGTTTGGCATTGTGCCAATCTCCTTTTGTATTTTAATTTTTTCTTATTCCATTAAGAAAGGTGGTAAAGGGGGGTTAAAACGATAGTTTTGCCGAATCACCACGAAGATGCTGCCGGTTCGACCTCCCGACCCTGCTCACCAAGCTTCTCGTCTTTCCAGGACCTGTAAACTGTTACGAAGCTTCTCTGGGAACAGTTCAGTCCCTGCAATCCAAGTGGGAACGCTCTGGCTCAGGTATCACAGGAGTCCAGAGCGAATCGATTCGGCTAGCATTCAATGTTATTTACGACGAAAGAAAAACCCTCAAACAGTAGCCGAACCCATACGCAAAAGTTGAATGACCTTTGTAGATAGTCAATGCAGGAAACGAATCGAATCCAGGAAGAGCTGGGATTCGCACAGTAGTCTCAAAGACTGGTCTTGTAAAATGAAAAGATAATTAACATCTAAGTTACTGCATAATTCCTTAGGACTAACAGAATTCAAAATGAATTTGTGACAATGCTACTAGTAATTTATCATTATGATTACTTTTCAACTAGCGTCGCTTTCAGCTTAAATCAGTTTTCCTTCCCTTTAGAAGAAGCCCGCTGAATAGTCAAAAGATTACGATTACAAAAAAATTGTTAGGCTTAAAAAGACCGCCACTGGAGGGTTGTGATGGCGTACATAACCTGAGATGAAAGTAATTTTAAAAAGAAAAAGCTGTCATTTTCCTTTCTATTAATGTTTCATTCCAGTCTGCACCATTCACCGATCAGCTGACGACATACATTGTCATCTATTCAGTGGATAGTAGAGAATCATTTAAACGAGCGACAAACATACTGTACAGGTGTGTTCGTATTTAACGGTGTGTATGTGTGTGTTTGTGTATGTGTGTGTGTTTATGTATGTTTGTGTATGTGTATGTGTATGTGTGTGTGTGTGTGTATGTGTGTGTGTGTGTGTGTGTGTGTATTTGTATCAGCCTGTTTATCAGATCAGCTTCTTCCTCATGCTCATCCACTTGCTGATTTTTAGAATCTACCAGACTCGAAAATGCACCATTATTCCTGTATTACTTGTGGGCAACAAGATTGATTTGAAACGAAACATTGTCGTTTCTACAATCGGTGGGTTGATTATTCGTAGAATAAAACTGCTCCACTACATATTTGGTTTCTCTTTGAATTCTACAGCATTATATGTTTCCATACTAATTAATCACTTCTATAACCTCTCCTCCTGTTGTTCGTCGGCTGGTCCAAACGGATGCTGACAACAATCATTCATTCCCGTTGCGAATTCCGAATTAACTAGTAGGTCTGCTCTTTCAAAAGAATTAGGACGTACTGCGTTTTTCTTTCAGTATCATCGCAAATTAGTTTGGCCACTTTGTCTTGCTCTTGTGCTCCTGACATCCATTGCGGACGTGATTGATCCACTTGATCTTCGACATCCTACCATACATGGTCCTCTCTCTGGACTTGGTCATCGTTGTTGTTCGACGATTTCGGAATTTTCCCTCCGTCTCCGATAGGTATAGGATGATTATCCTTCATGATACATTCAATAACGCTATCCACTCATTCACTCCTGTTATGTGGTGTCAAGGTTTCAGAATTGTATGCGTCCTGGAGTCGAACAACTTGGCATAGAGTCTGATTTCGCTATTTTTTTTATTTACTGCCTAATAGTTTTTAATGGCAGGGTGTTATGTGACATAACTATAATGTTGCTGCGATAATCGCAAAACTCCAGACCACTGGTGTCTGCAATGGGGACCGAACACGGAACTACCCTTTCCAGAGTCTAACGCGTTCACCACCACACCATGCGAGTTCTTCGTTTCGCCTGTCTCTCAGCCGTGTTACTGACCTATAGGCGCTATCAGAAATCACCCGTCAACGGGATTGATCTGGGAGCGCAAATTAGCATGAACCCAGTTAAGCTGAAGCGATAGTATAAACCACAGTGTCGCCAATTTTTATTGACTGCCTAATAATTTTTATTGGCAGTTATTATGTGACATATAACCATAATGTTGTTGAGATATTTGCAAAACACCGAACCGCCGGTGTCTGCAGTAGGAACCGACTGAATTGAAAATTGGCGATATTGTGGTATATGGTATCCATCGCTTCAGCTTAACTGAGTTCATGCCGATTTGTGCTCTCCAGACCAGGCTCCTGTTGACAGGTGATTGCTGGTAGCGCCTATAGGTCAATAACACAGCTGTGAGACAGGCGAAACGAAGGACTCGCATGATGTGGTGGTGAACGCATTAGCCCGCGGAAAGGGTGATAAGGGTGATGGCGTATTCGCTCCCACCGCAGACATCAGCGGTCCGGAGTTTCGCAAATATCTCAGCAACCTTATGGTTATAGAATCTAATGTCTTTTTATACTTCTTCGTCAAATGTCTTGTTACTCTTGTTGACGATGGAAAGTGGTAGCTGATAACTGACTGCAGACAGTTTGGGCAATGACTATCGACGTCGTGTGAGTCCTGCTCTTTCGCAGATGGTTGTGGTCGTTTTAGGCTGACTGGATACTTAGTATTATTGTGACAGCCAATGTACAAAAATCTTAGCGTGATATTGATTATTATTGATACTAGAGAAACAAATATAACAAAAATGAAAAGTTGCGTCATCAATACATTGAGGACAAACACTTTCCACCTGAGTGGTACTTTTTTTTGCTAGCTGGGAGAACTTTTCTTACGTTCTAAATGTAGAAGGGTCGTGGTAAAACATTCGACTTACTGTTACTGGTTCCCGACAACATATCGTTTGATTTGGTGGTGTGCCGCTATGCTGCTTCCAAGGTTGCAGCGATTCCTTCATAGGTTATCATTTAACTGCATATGTCAAATTTCTTCTAGCAAATCCCATTGCCGACTTCCTTCTAACCGCCGCGTTGATCAATGATTGCTGATCAATGTCGAACTTTTTGGATCGACTTGCCGAGATATGAATACTAAATTGTTATCTTTCGTACTTCAGTACGCAGAAACATCAGTTAACAACTATTAGCATTAAACTATGCGAAGTGCTAATCAGTGATGGAAAACCGAAGCTTAGGTAGTTCTCCATGATGGCGCTGTTTACTAGGGTACTGAAGCTACCAGGAGGTACTGCTCAATTATAACGCTGTTCACCTGTATACTCGTGTTCCACGATGACACTTCTTGCCTGATGGAGCAATGGCAGATCCAACGATCTATCAGTGGGCGCTTTTTGCTAAAGATACCAAAGGTAAAGGAACTCGTAACAACGATGTGAGGTTCTTCATGTTCCTCTAGCTATTGGAAGCATTGAGTAGCTCTAATATGTGATAGGACAAAAAGATACTTTCCGGTGTTCGTTAAAACTACTTAACAACTATTAAGATCATATGTAGTTGCCTAAAGTATGAAAATCCAACGTAACTTGGAGGCAAAAAATTATAATGATGCTAATGGTGCATTTCTACTCGTCTAACTTAAAAAACTGTTTCAATAATTAGAATTCTATGTGGTTGGATGATTTTCCAGAAGGGAAGTCATTATCGAAAATCTACAAGTGTGGTTTTGTCGAGGTGTCAGCGCTACTATCAATGAACATCACCACGATGTGGGCTGAACTAATTCGACAGATACAGGTGAAGTTTTGCAGACAGTTGATAATTCAAATCGTAGCATGCAGTACTTCACGTATTTCTCATTAAAATCCAATAGAGCCAATCAGTAACAGCTTACTGTTTCTATTTAGAAAATATTGGCAATCATCACATGCATGAGTGATAGTCGTATAAAGTAATACGGTCATTAAATCAATGTCATAAAAAAGGATAAAGCTCTTGGCGTTGATCAATCCCTGACGATGTGCCATACGTCGATTTCTTGTTCAGCAATCGCGAGGTTTTTAAACAGCATACATTTACTTCCATAGAGAAACACAATACAATACAACACTAGCTGACGTTTCGGCAGTGTCGCCTTCTTCAGAGCCGCTTTTTACGTGACTTCCAATGAAGAAGTTTAGGACAGCTCATTATAGTCGCATGTGGTTCATGACTGCACCATCTCAGGTTGGGGTGATGCTGCCGAGACGTCAGCTAGTGTTGTATTGTATTGTGTTTCTCTATGGAAGTAAATGTATGCTGTTTAAAATCCTCGCGATTGCTGAACAAGAAAACGACGCATTCATATTCCAATGCCGAGGTTAATAGAAAGTCGATCCTGGGATGTGCCATGCATAGGACTTTATTAAGCATCGTTTGGTGGTCATCGAATACATATCCGGGCTTTACAATAACTCGCGGTGGCCTACCGATGTATCGAGCCAGTGCTGCTACCCTCCCAGACAAGTCTGGTACCAATTTGCCGACCCCGGAAGGATGGAGGGCTTGGTGGGCCATGGGGGTGGGCATCGCTTCCACGAGTGTGTTGCAGGGCGCCTCCAACCACTGCTACACAAGTGCCCCAATCAAAGCCTTACAGACGGAAACATAGATGTGACTGAATGATATTTGATTTACACTATGACTTACAGGGACCTACTCACGTATAAGTTCAGTTTATTTTATTCTCTAAGACAATTGTACCGTTTCCGACCCCGAAGGAATGGTGAAATTGATTAGTCCTGGACACCGAAGCGTTCTCTGGTTAGCTAAGAAAGCATAGGTGATATGTGGGTAGGGTATTGGTGGATACCATATGACGGGATGGTTGACTTTAACGCACTACTGGTGACAAATATGCAAGTGCACGTCATAGAGCAACTATTTGCATCACTTTAACTAAAGTGACAAGTATTTGGGGTGTTTACCAAATAGGCATATCAAGTTGATATTTCAGGATCCATTCGACCATAAGCCATCGCCTGAACATTCATGGGTGCATCGGCTTGTGGTTCGTGGTAGACACATCGCGAAATCATGTGAAGAGCTTGTGCAAAAGATTATCGCTTAGTACCATGCATATTAATGCTGTACACAATACACACATGTATATTGTATCATACGTATTGATCGATTTGTCAAGATTTTTAGAGGATTGACCATGATGTTGCTGAAGCAAATGAGCTGCTATTCATTCAGTAAACATATTAGGAAACTATCTTAACATCGATCTGATTTTGTGAATCTTGGCAAAAGTGATCGTATTGCACTCCAAATTTCGACTCAATGTTATTTTGACGTATTCTGATACGATTATTTCTTTTCCTTGTGAAACGGTATTCCAAATAACATGTACTGTAACCCTTTGTGGTTGATATTGGTCGCCACCCGATACTGCCGCGTATTCGCGTCGCGGCGTAACATGCGTGCTGTCGGTTCTGGTGGCATGCACTAGAAGAATGCGTGCAAAAGATAAAGGAAGATGATTGGCCGATGAGATGAAATCTTGCAGATTGATAGACTCTAAAAGAAAGGCAAACATTTCTGGGTTGCTGTCAAACTGACTTTCATAAACATCGGCAAAATTAATCAATACCTTCATCGATTATTAAGCAAACACGAGGTTGATAAAAGAAAAGCTGCGAATGAAGAGTAAATGAACAGCCACATCACGGCAGTGACCAGCTGAGGACCATTTACTCGAATCAATCCGGCCCTGAAGAAGATTAAGATGTCGTAATATTGGCCGAATAAATCTTTTCGTCAATTTCTTGTTTGCTTAATAATCGAAAAGGTATATCCGGGTTGTGTCGTCGTTACCTCTACCGCTATAGTGGCACCTACGAGCGCACCGTCGTTTTGCACTTTATGCTTTAGCCACCACGCATTGTTATCATACCACATCACAAGTGCTCATATATGTGTAACGAATACTTAGCGGTGGATACGAGCGGTTCAGATCGTGTAGAATATTAGTCATGCGGGTCTTTTAGTTGTTTTATTAACCTATCAGCCTCAAACTTCGGTGATTAAACCGTTTACATACATAAATACAAAATTAATAGCATAATAGTAACGATTGAGAAGTAGTGATAAAAGAATCAGGCGAGTTATGAGGTGCTATGGCTAGTAGTGAAATGAGGCTAACAACGAGATAATGGCAATTGAATATTACTACATCATTAATAAAATAATAACAATAATAATGAATGATTACATACAAATAACCGCTGGTTAGTCATGAACGATGCCGCGCTCCCACTACCCGCTGCCGGTGCAGCGGCTGAGTGAGACAGTATACTGGGATGGAGAGGAAGACAGTATGCTGGGGGTGGAGAGGGATACTGACGAGCCGTGTTTTCGGCTGAGCTAGGGATCAATATTGTAGCGGTGAGGTGCATTTTAGCATGATCGATGAGGACAGTAAGTTACATAAGCATTGACGGTGCTATGGACAACGAATAATGAGTCATCTACAGTACAGAGAAAGGAAAGTTCCAAAGGTTGGACTGTTGAGCGCAAGGAGCGCAATGCCACCGGAAACTTCTGGAGGCGCTGTATTCTATAGTTCCACCCCACCGTCTCACTAACAGGCCACTACGTCTTCCTCTACAAGATGTATAATACGTGGAAGAAGGATTCCAAGTCAGTACATGCGTCCTCGGTGCGTACTTCAGAAATGTTGATGTTGGTGCTGCTCCGGGTTAAGCCTATCGCATTCAGTCAAACGACAATGTTGACGACGACCATTATAGAACAAAGAAACAGATCTGAGTGTTGTACGTAGTGAAAGGTTTCTCATCACCCATAAGCAATAGTTCAAAAATATTTCTTCACCAACTTCACTAAAAATCAAGGTATCGGAATTTACTCACATATAAATTTAATAGTACAAAAGGGCGCGTGTGGCGCAGTGGTTGGAGGTGCCCTGTCACACACACGTGGAATCGATCCCAGCGTCCATGGCCCACCAAGCTATACATCCCTCTGTGGTCGGCAAATTAGTACGAGACTTGTCTGGGAGAATAGCAGCACTGGCTCGATACATCGGTGGGCCACCGCGAGTCATTGTAAGGGCAGATATGCATTCATTCACCTCCAAACGATGCTTAATAAAGTCAATGAATAGCGCATCCCTCAGGAATTGATCAACGCCGAGAGCTTTATCATCTTATAAATTTACTAGAATGAAGACTATAATTCTCCACTGTTAACACCAGTGAGAGTGGCTTAACTTCATAAATAAAACAGTAACCTCTCACTAAAAGGTTAGTACTGGGGTACAGTATTATCATTGACCAGGTATGAAGTGTGCATGGACGATCAAGCAATTTGAAATCTGCCGAAGATATAAAGCGACCTTCAGTTGTCGATTCCACTCTGTTGCAGATAACTGGTTCACGATATGATGTAGTGAAATTGCCATTTTGATTCTAATTGTCTCGGTGCGTCTAAGAAGACTCGCGACCATTACTGTCGTAGGCATGCCATTCGAATTAGTACGGCTCTAAAGAAAATGGCAGTGTCGCAAAGCTGGAAGCTGTAGAAAATTCGATAGCATTATTCCTTTAACCTCACTAATACGATATAATGCTTATTTTCCTTATTTACTTGTCATATTCATTCGGAGGCTAGACAAATGTCAATTTTCGAAACTATTGCCATCACTAGTACTGCATGGTACTGAAAATCAATTGTTTCAGTTACCACGCCGAACTTTCCATTAACCTAGATATTGATGATTAAGTTCTTACGGTCTTGATAAGCCAACGCCAAGTTGTGAACACCGTCTGTTCCGCAATTCCTGATTTCTCAGTGATTTTCTCCCTTTTAAGAAACCGCACTATATTAAAATTGAAATACGAAGTGTAGCATACTATTTTTGCATCAGAGCAAAGCGTTAGAGTTTGAGCAGGATACCTTCAAAAATGAAGCAATAATAAGGCACATTTTTGTATCCTCGAAATTTACTCTTTCTTTCTTTCAGGTCACATAAATGCAATCTATGAAAATCACTTTTGATGAAATCCATCGTAGTGCTGGATACAATCGACGCACCAAAATATTGTAGAGGCCGATGCGCCACTGTGGTAGTTAAGTGATGGAATAGCAAGGGAAACATCAGGTAGTGTAGCGACCAATTAACTGATTATTAATCGTTGCTTTGTCTCTGCTCGGCTCTTGAAGATATATGTGCCCTGTGATGTCTACTTGGAAACTCCGTAATGTGTAAGGATTTACGTCTTAGCGAGAGGAAGTGAGTGAGAGTCGAGATGTAGGAATTATAGTTTCATGGGAACACAGTCCAGATGAAACCAAGAAGTTGCCTTCCTAGTGAGGATGCTGGAGACCGATTTACGCCTTTGATTGAAGTGCCACATGCTGTTAACCTGTTTGCTTGTACCTGTTTGCACCTAGTCGCTGTTTAACAAGCGGGTTTTGTTGATGGTGGCCTTAACAGGGTAAATCTCAAATTCGGCTGATTAAAATTTTACATATAGTCATAGCACTGATACTGCAATAACGGTTTAATTGCATCAAAAGATGTAAACAGTATAAAAGATGACATGGCAACGGAATCGCTAAATAAGAAGTTACACCGAAACAAAAGAGTAGGTTCGACAAAAGAATGGTAAAATAATATGAGTAATAAGTGCTACACATAATGCAATAATAACGGTATTATGAGAATAAAATGGTGTGAGGGATATGTAGGATTGAAATAGTTCTAACGCATCGGTGGTTATAGGACAACGGTACACGTAACGAACAACTGGTTATATTTGTAAAGAGCCTAACAGTTGAAATCCACATCGTAAGGTGGAGTGCGAATGTGAAGATGAGGCAGCCTTCAAGCAAATGGAAGGAACGACTACAGGTTCTACTTATTTCTCGGTTATTCTATCTAAAGTGCGAATGGAAATGTCAACGTACAGAGAAACTACAGAGCGTTTCTCAACCATTGACTTTCCAAGGATATTTCAAAGTCAATAGTCACAAAGAGGCCTACAATGAAGAACGTTTACCTAATTCTATCACAAAAGAAGAGCGGAAAATCCGAGTGGCAAGAACGCGGGCGTGTTACCCTCACCAGCCAGCAACAGTCATTTCATACTGGCTTAGGAAGCACAGAAGTTGTACAGTCGTTGACCGATAGATCGTCCTTATATTAACGAGATGTAGAGATTCTAAAATTGCTGCAATGAACATGCGATTATAATTTGCTAAGATAGATAGAGAAGATTCTTTTGGTAATGTCCACATCAGACACACAACATAGAAATATTTTATAATAAGTAGGGGAGGTACAATTGTAATTTGGCTAAACAGAGAAGATACTCTACGTGATCGAGAGCATTCTCAATACTTTCAAAACAATAATACTGCTAGAAAAATAAAAAAGGATAAAGCTCTCGGCGTTGAGCAACCTCTGAGGGACGCGCCATGCATTCGACTTCAATAAGTATCGTCGGAGGTGATTGAATGCATATCTGGCCTTTACAATGACTCGTGGTGGCCTACCGATGTATCGAGCCAGTGCTGCTATCCTCCCAGACAGTTCTGGTACCAATTTGCCGACCCCGGAGGGAGGGAAGGCTTGGTGGGCCATGGGCGCGGGGATCGATTCCACGTGTGTGGTGCAGGGCGCCTCCTTCCACTGCGCCACGCGCGCCCTTAATAGTGCTATAATCATTACAAAACAGTACCCCAACATGAACATTACAACTCGTCAATATTTTGTTCGAAAACTAAAGGAAAGAAAATTTAGAAGAATCCTAACATTGCAAACAAGATGCAAACTCTAGTTTGTAATTAGCAGTTTTACGCACTAATTGATTTAAGGTCAATCAGTGTAATACGTAAAATAGTACTTTCCAGCATCACTGCGAAGGAGCAATAGCATATAATTTATATTGTTCACATAAAATTTGACAACACTTGATACTTGAGTGGCCCGTCCTCACTGGTTGTGCGGGGCCTAGCATAATCTCCATTTTTCGGAGATTTGCTGGTTAAGACATTTTGGTTCTCTGGAATCCTGAGGTCAGCCAGGCAAAAGTCTGCCCCAGGTCGTCACCACCACAGGCAGTCACAGCCCTCGTTGATCAGAGAGAGATTTGTCACCATATGGCCTTGATACCAGGATAGGGGTGAATCCTGATATTAGTTTACTCTTAGCTAGGCTTCCTTATGGACACCGGACTCCTTCCAGCTTGGGAGACCCTGCCAAGAGATGAATCCCCGTTGTGCATCGCAGTCCGACACTCAGAAACACCTCCCAGCCATGATGAGGCGGCAAACCGTTGGCAGGAAAATTTGACAATAATGACACGAGGCATAGAGAACAAATAAAACTTCACAATAATCATTGCCTGTTTCTTGCATCTCTTACGGCGCTCAGAATCTTAGTTCGAGTGCTTCGCTCCTTATTCCTAATTCGACTGCGAAGCTGGAAATGAACTGAGAATTAAGGAGTCAAGAAACATGAACAAGGATGTACGTTCACATTCACCGTAATAATCCTTGAATAATCGGCATACGAGTTCTCATCATAGCTACCACTAAGCACATCTTTTGTCATTGCAATGCTTTCATTACATATGCATTCAATCCTTAAGAAAATAACGTTATGCAATTTCCCGATTCCAAAAAATTCAAACAAGGAAATCTTAATTGACCAGAACAGGTCTAGGCAAATCCAAGTCTCTTTCAGATGGCATGCGATAGAATATTACTGCTGATTATCGCCTATCTCGAGTTACCTCTGTTGTGATGATACAAAACGTTCCTACATATTTACATACACGCTGAGAACATTTCTTCTTAGCTGACATACGCAAGAATTTCCCTAGAAGCTTACCTCTCCTCCGTGAAAGAATCACAATGCTGAATAACGAATCCTCCACCATCGTGATATCGTCGGATATGTGCCGCTACAAAGATTTCCTTACTGTGACTGAAGGCGCAAGATGAACACTTATATTTGCGATAGTCGAGGTGTGCACCAATGTGAAGTCGTCTGAATGTTGTTTAAGTAGTACCAGTATATCTTATCCACGACGACTCCATTTATTGATCACAACACACTTTATTCGACTTCATGAAGTCGAATGCTTGGCGCGCCCCTCAGAGGTTGATGAACGCCAAACGCTTTATCCTTTATTCTTTCATCAACTGCACTCATTCAACATCTACCATTTCAAAAAAAATCAGAGAAAGGATATAACCAAATTGGACTGTTGTAAAGGTTCTGCAACTTGAAACACTGTGTGTATTCGTTTAGAATGTTCATTTTGCACGACTTTGTTAAATAACCTTGACTCGGTTAAGGTCTCAACGTTTACGTCTTCTTCAGCTGCGTTAATCCGAGTCGATGGTTTGCACCTACCTCTTCTTGCTCGAGTTGTAGACTTTAGTAGTCGTACCGAGTTCAATCCCCTTCAGTTGAGCACCGCTCGAATAAGGTAAATTCACTGGGCGGTACGCCGCCTATAAAAGACGGTTGTTCACTAATCGTCGATTGATAACGACTTGCTTTCATGTCGACAGTTCGTGCTGCAGCAGTCGGTATTAGAACAGCTAGCACATAATGAAATAATACTTTACTAAACTCGTTTGCACTTAAGTCCTTGGCGTGAGTAATCAATATATTTGTTTACATTTCGCAGCATGTTCAACGGATCATCGGCTGTAAGGAAGGCGAAAACGTCAAAATGTTTGCGAAATGAAGGTTGCAATAGTAAGGCCGCGTATGGCGCAATGGTCGGAGGCGCTCTGCAACACACAAGTGAAATCGGTCTCCTCGCCCATGGCCCACCAAGCCTTTCATCCCTCCGGGATGGGCAAATTGGTATCAGACATGTCTGAGAGGATAATAGCACTGGCTCAATACATCGCCAGGCCACCACGAGTCATTGTAAAGGCCAGATATGCATTCAATCACCTCCAAACGGTGCTTAGTGAAGCCGAATGCATAGCGCATCCCCTCAGTGATTGATCAGCGCCGAAAGCTTTATCCTTTATCCTTCTAGCAATCTCGTCTAAGCTGAACAATCTAAATAAATTTACTTATTATTCATACCGATGCTAAGCGAAAACCTTTGTAGCTGATTTCTATTTCGCTATGTGCTGCTTCTCCCCAACGGCTTACCGCTTCATCGTAACTGGGAGGTGTTCTCGGTGTTGGGCTGCGATGTACAGCGGAGGAATTCATCTGCCTGGCAAGGTCTCCCAATCTTTGAAGGAATCCGGCGTTTCCATTAGGAAGCCCAGCTAAGAGAAAATCATTGCCAGGATCCGTCACTGTCCTGGTACCAAACTAGTCGCAAGGTGACAAATCTCCCTCTGATCCACAAGGGCCGCGACTAGCTTTGGTGGTGCGGCAGACTTTGGCCAGGCTGAGCTCAGGATTCCAAGGAACTACAAAGCTAAACCAGCAAATCTCTGAAAATGTGGACATTATGCTGGAGCCAGCACAACCAGTGAGGACGGACCATCCAAGCATCCAAGTAACTGAGTATGTGCTGGTTACCCTAGCAGCGACAGTTACCAGATGAATTGTTGACATGAAAAGAAATTACTAATAGTCGACAATCAGTGAGCAACCGCCCTGTACACCGCGCAGTGAGATTACTTTATTCGATCGGTGTTCCAATCAAGAAGATTCAACTTGATACAACTACGAAGACCACCAACGCGAAGATGAACTGCCATGGATAACCGACTCGGATCATCACCTCTGAAGAAGACGAAGACTCTAAAAAAGACATCCGAATAAAGGTTATATAATAATCTCAAGTAAGCTAAAAAATCCAAGCAAACATATTGGCTATTCACGACGAAGTTAGATGAAAGTCAGTTTACTGAAGCAGTATGTATACTCTGATGACGAACCGGCTACGTGAGCAGACCCATTCCTTACAAATGAGACATATGATGTTCGGATAGTATTTCACATCATTGTGTCTTGCGCTTGTATGCCTGAATCCTAAAATCAACGATGAAGATTTATCCAGCTTCTCGTCTCATACATTTCTCCACTTTAACATTGTTAAAATGTATAACCTATAGAATTAATACGTGGAAGGGATGGAATAGTATCCGATAACGAGATCGATGGCTTATCAACTGAACGAGAAGAATAAAGAACTTTTGGACGGACTGTATTAGGGAGTTCCTCGTTCTCCGTTGCTGCAAGCACAAAGAACAAACTGTAAACGTAGAAACTTTTTGAAAAATTGGAACTTAGTAACGGGCCATTAAAAAATGAAAAAACTTTACTAGTACTCACCACTTTTGTTTAAACGCGTTACCAGGGCAGTCAGCACGGTGGCATTTAGTATAACACCCATATTGTCGTCATCTGTGTCTTCGGTTTGATTCACAAACGCTAAAAGGATTGATTTGTTTCATTTATGAATTAACTTATATTGCGACTACTTTTGTTATCAGATGTTTCCTCTCTTCTTCTGATTTCCTTCAATTTTCCTAATCATAATTGAAATCATTTAACTTGACGTTTCCCAGTCGTTTTCTATTGCTCACAGAGTTTGGGTGATGTCGCAGAGGTAACGAAAATACTCTCTCTCTCCCTCTCTTCCTCTCTCTCGATAGTCGAATAGCCCGTCCTCACTGGTTGTGCGAGCCACAGTATGATCTCTATTTTTCGGAGATTTGCTGGTAAGGCCATTATGGTCCCTTGGAGTTCCAAGGTCAGCCTGGCCACAGTCTGCCTCAGGTCTTCACCACCACAGGCAGTCAGTCGTGGCCCTCGTGGATCAGAAGGAGATTTGCCACTATGCAACTTTGATACCAGGACGGTGGTGCATCCTGGTAATGGTTTACTCTTGACTGGACTTCCTGATGGAAACGTCGGACTCTTTCTCAGCTTGGGAGAACCTGCCTGGGGATGAATCCTCCCGCTGTGCATCGCAGCCCGAAACCCAGGAACACCTCCCAGCCACGATGAGGAGGTAAACCGTTGGGAATTGCAACAAAAATAATGTAAAACAATAGCAAGTTTGATTTTGGAAAGAATTAAAGAAATTGGGGTTGCTGAAATAGAAATACCTCCCAGCGGTTTACCGCCTCATCGTGGCTGGGAGGTGTTACTGAGTGTCGGACTGCGATGTACAGCAGAGGGATTCGTCCGCCTGGCAGGATCTCCCAAGCTGAGAAGGAACCAGCGTTTCCATTATGAAGCCTAGCTAAGAGTAGACCAATACGAGGATCCGCCACCGTCCTGGTCTCAAAGTCGCATGGTGATAAATCTCTTCCTGATCCACCAGGGATGCGACTGCCCGTGGTGGTGAAGACCTGGGACAGAATTAAGTCAAGCTGACCTCGGGATTGCTAGGAACCTCAATGGCTTAACCAGCAAATCTCCGATAAATGGTGATTATGCTGGGGATTGCACAACCAGTGAGGACGGGCCGTTGAAGTATCAAGTATCAAGTAAAACGGAAATAACATCTAATTAACAATGAATATATAATGAAGTAATGGGACAAAGGGGTCCGTGTAACGCAGTGGTAGATGCCGACCAACACGAGTACGGTGCTGGTTTGACCCCATATCGAGCTCTCTAAGCTTCGTATCCTTCAGAGGTCAGAAAATTGATACCATAGTTGACTGGGAAAACTGCACTCCACATTTCAAGAGTGAACGCTCTAGCTCCTGTCATTTCAGGACTCCAGGAAGAATTAACTGGACCAGCATTCTACAACATCCATAAAAAAAAGAAAATCGAATTAACGCGAGTAGAAGTACGTAGACCACCGTGAACGATGAATACGAGGAAAGCGACTCGAATGGAAGAAGTACTGGGATCCGCACATTAGATGTGAAGATGCTTCATGTGGAAGAAGAAATGACACTACTGTTAAATACAAGAGATCATAATGTGGAAATGAAATGCTGAATGACCACTTACTAAGGAAAAGCATGAAATCACGAGCTTCCTCTTTCGAAAGGCCGTTGTTGTTAATGAAGTGAATGACATCCTGTTCCGGAAATCCAAACGCTGACTCTGTAAGGTGTTCAGGTTTCTATGTTTACGAGAACTTCGACAAACCACTGATTGGAATTCTGCGCAATAAGTCCGTAAGTTGTTCTGCTAACAACAAAAGTATAAAACAGTCCAGATGTTCCGTTTTCACGAGTGCCACTTTTTGACGGAATATTCTAATGATTCATTTACTTGTTACCATTTAAATAAACGAATACCTGTACTTCCCTCTACCTGCTTGACATTTGAGGTACTTGGCAAATTCATTCTGCATCTGGAAAGAATGATTTCATATAAGATGATCGATCCACCAAGCTACTTATTTGGAGCCAATTCATTATCCAGCAAAGTAAACAAAACTTCTAAAACCTCATTATGGTAAAAAAAAAACAGTTTTTGTATGAATACATGAGGAACGGCACAAGAAAGAGTGGAAAATCCACATAAAAACCAGAAATCATGCAAGACGTTGATCACTAGTTCATCTCCATCGTCGATGCGGTTGTCTCTACGGCAGACAAACTACACAGACAACTGTAGTTCAGTCCCAGCAGTCATCAGTAGTGCACAATTCATTTAATACCCACACAAGACATTAATTTTACTACTATATTTCTATGTTGCAAGGTCGCGCGTGGCGCAATGGTCGAAGACGCCCTGCAACACACACGTGGAATCGATCTCCGCGCCTATGGCCCTGCAAGCCCTCCATCCCTCCAGAGTCGGCAAATTGGTACCAGATTTGTCTGGGAGGATAGCAGCACTCGGTAGGCCACCGCGAGTCATCATTGTAAAGACCATATATGCGCATTCAATCGCCTCCAAACGATGCTTAATGAAGTCGAATGCATGGCGCATCCCTCCGGGATTGATCAACGCCGAGAGCTTTATCCTTTTATGCTTTTATTATTTATATTATGCAAAGAAAATCTATGACATAAGGCGTCGACATGTTGCACATGCTGCTTGCGTTGCTTTCAGTCACATGCACATTCAATGGCCAAGAGAATTTAGAAATAGAAACAACTATTGTCGAAATATCTTTAGGATGCTGGCCAAAGCTCTGGACATAGGGCTTTAATACCCTGTATTTCTTTACTCATTTCATTAAAGCGTCATGAATGGCATACACTCGCCAACATCTCAATTCTGGGCAGCCCAAAACAAATATATCTATGTTTGTGGCTCACAAACACGAAATTCTTGCAGAAATTTCCTTACCTCTTCTTCTATAACCAGGAACTCTTTTTATATTGTGATGTTGGGTTAATACTTTAAATAACGATCAAAATTCTGAAAAAACCCAATTGTTACAACACGATCAGTATAACTGTTCAACATAAATATCAGACTAAATTTAATGAACATCATAGAGAAAGAAGACAACGAGCATGGAAGTACCACCAACGACATATGTGGCTCGCTATCATAAGGGGAATAGTCTGACCCCATTCCCTGCTAGGTCAGTGGGTCAAATTGAGGCTCATAAATGACCTCAATGCCAAAGCCCGAAGACATCGCATCATTGTCGAAGGCTGTTGAGGAGTGATTTTATGTAAGGTCCACAAAGTCGTGAAACTATGAAATTTGAAAAAGAGTGAAAAATGCAGAGCCAAAAGCAACTGTTGACTACTTTAGGATAGTTTGTAGAGAATTAATCAAGTATTTTTCGAAAGTTCGTCCATGTGGAATTGAATTAAAAGATTCCCAATAGAAGTGCCGACTATCACTAGATAGAAATCATGGAAGTTAATGCCTTTACGAAATCCTTACGGCTATTTCTTACGTGGCCGTCCAACAGCTCCTAGTGGGATGAGTCATGATAATCTTCACGGTTGCGATTGATAGGACAACGAAAGCTATTCATTCTAGGAATTAAGTCCCAGACATCAAAAGTGGACAGCCGTTGGAACCAGCAAGTAGGAATTTCGTTGTCGTCTCGCTTTTATCATTGACCTCTGCCATTCCTGCCATGTAGCAGAAGAATAATAGCACAACTTCGCAGTTTCTTAAGCGATGCCGTTTATTGGTCACATGGCCACTTTGACAAGTAACATGAATTGAAATTGACGAATACGAAATTAGTTCTAGCTTTATTTTAAGTTACTTTAAGTTTTAAGTCTAATTTTATGTTAATAGATCAAACAATCAAAACCCGCCGTCAAATTATTAAATCATTTCATCCGGAGGCGTAACAGTAGCTGTACTTAATGGATGATGACTATGCCTTCTTTGGAAAACTTTAAATCATGGAAGATTGATGGAAAGAATCCTCGAAACAAAAATTAACTTACGACGACGTTTCACGACGATGCTATGATATCTACAAAACTTGAACTCCAGGTCAGACTCGAGTCCGTGATTACCTTTTTCGGGGTTCATGTAGTGCTGACTCCACCACTGAACCCCTTGTTTTCCCTTTCTCTCATTCGGTTGTTTACTCTAATGGTGCCATCAGCAATCAGGGGAATTACCTAAAGAACAATTTATGCTGCTCAGGATCATCGTGGTTGTATTCTTCGAAATATATTAGGTTGTTCAGAAATGAATGGGGGTTTCAAAAAATTAGAAATTCAAAAAAATATTTATTGGTGCATTTTTGTAAAAGAAATCCTTTGTATCTTGCAGTACTACATATCGTTAGAAAGTTGATTCCATGCTTTCTCTAACTTCTGTCAGAAATTGAATTTTTTCTAACCTTGAGCTTCCCAATTTTAGATGTCAAAAATAAGTTTTCGTCAAATTTTCCTCTTTGAGTTAAAATTCGGTCGTAGTACAGCAGAGACAGTTCGAAACAATAAGGAATTTTGGGGTTAAGGTAGTGTTGGTGATTCAACAGTGCGCACACGGTTCTGGAAATTCTAATCTGCTGATTTCGACCTCGAATAGGGAAGGTCACAAACGTCCCTATGAACTTGAAGACGATGAACTGAAAGCACTAGTGGAAGCAAACAGGCGTACAGACTGTTCGAAAGCTTGCACAACAGCTGGGCATAAGCACAGAAACAATTTCCACTCACTTCAGTCGCATAGTAAAGACTATAACAACTACAAGTGGGTGCCGCGCGAATCAAACGATTTAAAAAACACCGTTTTGAAGTCTCGTCTGCTCTTATTCTGCGAAGCAAAAACGACCATTTCCTTGATCCAGTTGTGGCGTGCGACGAAAAGTTGATTCTGTACGACAACTGGCGACGTTCAGCTCGATGTTAATATTGCGGTTAGGCTCCACAGTAATTCCAAAAGCCGAAATTGTGACTGTTTGGTGGTCTGCAGCCGGGCTGATTCATCACAACGTTTTGAATTAGGACGAAACGATTACGGCGGAGAAGTATTACCAACAAATCGACGAAATGCACAGTCAATTCTAACAACGTCCAACAACAAAGACCGGCATAGTCAACAGGAAGGACCAATCCTTCTCCACGACAACGCTCGACCTTACGTTTCTGAAGCAGCGCTGCAGAAGTTGAACGAGCTGGGCTACGAAACTTAGCCTCATCCACCATATTTGTCAGAGTCTCGCCTACCGACCATCACTTTTTCAAGCATCATGACAACTTCTTGTGCGAGAAATACTTCACCAATCACGACGACAGAAAAAGTGCCTTCAACGAATTCATCGCTTTCAGAACTACAAAATTTCGTACAACTGGAATAAACTTGTTTATTGTTGGGAAAAAACGTATAAATCCAAACGTTTTTTATTTTGATTGACAAAGTTTTGTTTGAAGCAAGTTATGACATTTTAATCAATGTGGTTAGAAAAGCTCATTCATTTCTGAGCAACCAAATAGGATTTTCTTCCATCGTGTGAGGAATCCTGCTGAAATACTCAAAAACAACGTCGGCGATTTGTCCACACCCCCAAAGATCTTCCAGGCGATGTCGACGGCTTGCGATAATAAACTGAATCGAGCCAATTATATTAATTACGCTGGATGCGTGCTATATCGCCACTAAAATGAAATGGAATTGAACGAAAAAAGTAGAACTGGTCGGTGATCAGTGTCCATAAAGAGTTGAATATCCTTCTATGTCAAACCACATTACAAAGTTTGATAAATCTTTCATATCTTAACAAGCGGCTTTCCATTACTGCTGTCACTAGTTATCACACTGTTTTCTTCTCTCTGAGTCACTGCGAACTTTTGATTGCAACAGTTACGAGTCTTAGTCGCTATGCAACGAAATCCTTGTTCATTTCATCACGTTTCATAGTCTGTAAAAAGTCACACTAGCTGCTCATCCTAGTAGAGCAGCAGTTCCTAAAATCCTGTAAAGTTCACAACCATATGTTTACCAATTACATTTTATTTATTACTTATTTTGCATAACCCGTTGCGTCCAGTGTGCGAATTCCAGAACTTCTTGCACTCGATTCGTTTTCCTCCCATTCGTTCTCCACAAAGGTCCTCGAACATTTCGCGTGATGTTTCGAGTACTGTACTAGGGTGTCGTCTTGTTTATTAATGTCGTAGAATGGTGGTTGTATCGATTCCCCTTGTAATCTTAGAGCTACGCTAGGGCGCTCCCAAATGGATTGGAGGACAGCGTTTGGTGTTACCCCTCAATTATATATATATATATATTACATTTAACAAGAAGTCAACAGATGATGAAAAGGATTAAGTGTTCGGCTCTGATCAATCCTTAAGAGTGCGTCACACTTGGCAGTGACTCGCAGGGCCCTACCAACGTATCCAGCCAGTGCCGCTATTCTTTCAGATAGGTCAGTTGCCAATTTGCGAACACTGCAGAAATGGCATAGCGAACTCAGAACGTGGAATCGAACCAAGACCAAGTGTGTATCGCATGGCACGTCTAACTAATCCGCTACATGCGCCCCCCTTAAAGGTAGAATTGGGACTAACACAACAAAAAACAATAGAAAATTTACTTTTGAAAGCGACCGTCATTTACTTAAAATACTTTGCTTAAAATTTACTAGTGGTACTCTTTCATCTAAATTTGAAAGATCTTGCTTAAATATTCTGACGTCATTCGTTACAATAGAAACACCGATCAAAGTAAATTTGGACGCCTAAGAACGAATTGAGTTCATTCTAAACTCGAATTCTAATATCTTTGACCAGGATCTGAAAGGTTTATTAGGAATAAGAAGTCTTATTATATTTAAAATAAAGAAGAAGACTCGATACAAGTTACTACAAGTTGTTTCAATGAAAATAAATGGAGAGATGAAAAATCGGGCGCCTTCAAACATGTGATTTCCAGCGAGCGAGCAAAGAAGAATAGAAACTTGGCAACCGTATCAAAATCCATCGAAGCATGTCCATGAAAGCTTACCCAGAGGTTAGAATTCTATCATCTGCGACCAATGACGATTTTGCCACATTAACTGGGATATAAAAGTTACCCAAGTTGTATGACTACGGTGGCAGCTGGCTTTTTCAACCACTGTGATTAAAACGGATTCGATATCATTATTGAAAAACACCCAGTGGTCAGCTATCGATGGAGTGTATTTGATTTAACAAAAAAACCTTTGCAACGAAAAAATGTTTGAATATGGTTCACATAATAGTGGAATTAATGATGCCATGGAAACGTCAGATGACGTGGAAGTGAAGTGTGTGGGAGATTGGTCAGAGATCTAAAAAAGAGTGAAAGGAAGAAGCTCAGTTATTCACAAGGAAAAGGATCAAAAGAGGAAACTGCAATTGTAACTACTTTGGATTCGGCTTTATGGTTAGGGCAGTATTGATTTATAGAGTATACAAGTGTCTTGGCCGAAACCCTGGAGCAATCCTCTAAGGTAACGCTCGGAGTGCTACTTGTGCGCTAAAAACTGTAAAAGGAGTTAGAAAAACGGATGTCCTGACATAAAAAAGACGAATGCAATATTACCTGTGTCTCTCAAATATACTGCTATACCGAATAAAAAGAATAAAAGAACTAGCCGTTGAATTCGCTCTGAATAATTTCCTGACCTACACCATTCCATGTAACCTGTTTAGAATCGAAATTCGGTAATTTATTGATATTCTAAATAAGATTAGTGATTTGTCATAAGTGTCTAGTTATAACTGAGAACAAGAAAAAATGACTGATAGCTTTAATGAAATCACATTTGCGACGATTACCATAATCCTAACAGTCGTAAAATCTACTTAATCGGTGTACGGCCTTCGAAACGATCTCCCCATTCAAAGAAGTGGGCGAAGATGTTTATTCTAAGCAGTTCGATACGACATACATATAAAAGTCGCTGGTGAAAACAATAAACCCTAGGCCAAGAAGACGAGGCCGGTTGCCGTTGGGTCAGCGTTTCCACAAATGGCAACAGCTACAAGTGCCGTATCGACTGTCTTCATGTTGCTAGCAACAACGTCAGCCTCGTTTCTGATCGTCATGTTCAACATATACGCCGACATCAAGAGCTTTCACAGCGAATCCATGGAAGATCTGCGAATTTTCCAGGTAATTCAATGTTGTAGTGCAATTCTGGCGCTTTTGCATATTTCTACCTTCCGTAGATTCTCGCTAAACAACTCAAACTAAACTGGTTGTAATTTTGAAACCGACCGTCATTTAACCTCCGTATTACAATATTCAACATGTGTTTAAATTGTTGAGCTTACACGAGGTTGATAGAGATGTTTCTTCGGTTAACGTTCCGACATCTTCCCCTTCACCAGAGCCGACGATCCTTTTCGATGGTTCACAGTTGTTCCTCTTCTCGATGTGGTGTCTTCGCCTCGCATGAAAATGGATCTTCCTCAGTTGAGCATCCCGAATGAGCCATACTCACCCGAGGACGCTCTTCTATACAGAGCAGTTGTCGTACACATGACTTCCCGTTGGTAATAATTTGTTTTTCAACGGATAATTCACCCTGTTAAACTTAGATTGAACTGATTGTGCTTGAGGATTCAAGGAAAATGTCTATTATGTTTACTGTCACAATCCCAATAACTTTTTCACCAAGCGATGTGCACCATTTAAAGTTAGAGCAATGTTATAGTGTTAATGATTAAGCTGGTAATACGTAGTCAACTTCAGAGATGATCATTTTTATAACAGTTAAAAGTATCTAGGGTACCAGAAGCCGTTAACTAAATTTCAATAACGCAGTGCAGTTTTACATCTATGAGATCACAGTGATGCTGTGCGTTTCATTGTACCTGAGCTATGTACTTGCGTCTCGGGAAGCTCGTTTCCTCAGCGAAACCAGTTATCTTGAGAATGAGCTCAACTTCTCCATCTAAAAATCTAATGCCACAAATGGAGAGATTAAACCAACGATAATAATATTTGTTGTGCTAGAGTACACCTCGTAATCGACCTCCTCCTCATTAGTACGACAGACAGTTTCTTGGTGCTAAATGTTTTAGGAAGGCCTTTGCACATCCTATCCTGAGTCTCGAGAACGAAATTTTGCCAAATCAATATGATATCAGTTGAAGAAAAAGTGTGAAGTGCCCCATCATTTTAGCTAGTCGTCTAATTTCTATGTATTTTCATAAATGACAGCTAATATGAGGTTGTTATACGCCATCATCTGAGCGGCGTTGTTCTGAGTCAGTTATCCTCAGTCGGTCGTTGTCGCATCGAGTTGATTCCTCTGGAGTGGAACATGGCCCAAATAAAGAAGTTATTAATAATATCGATTACTGCAGAATGTAATACAGCCGGAAAGAACAGATCACTCCGGATGCCAATAGTCCAAGAACCGCCCAGTATAAAATAGCACAGCCGAGCTAGGACAGTTTATTCGAGTGGTGTTTCACTATACCAGTTTCGAGTCGAGGCGACAACGAACGACTATACGTGATCTAGTAGGACCGATGCCGTTCTGAAAAAAGCGAGAACGTCAAAATAATAACCAATTAGATCTTTTTATACCATGAGAGAAGGATCCGCACGGTGTGGTGGTCAACGTGTTAGCTCCCGGAAAGGGTAATAGCGCATTCGTTCCCCACCGCAGACACCTGCGCTCCGGAGTTTTGCAAATATCTCAGCAATTTTGTGGTTGTATTTCGCTTAATGCCCTACCATAAAAATAATAGAAGGCAAAAAATAGAAAGTAAAAATTATGTCATTATTATCAAGGCAATAAATAAATATCGATTTCTAATGAAAAACACATAAGCCACCATTTTATTTTTGCCATTTGTCTTTATAATACTCTTTATTTTGCATTACGAACGCGTCCAGCACAAGTGCTCTGCGTTGGCTCGACCTCGCGCCCAGGGATCAGCAGCAAAAGCTTAATTCACTATTCTTTACCTCTAAATTTGAACACTTAGATGACCCGTCCTTACTTCAGACTTCAAAACTTCTGCCACATATCCTGTTTTCTGGAGCTGCCATTCATAGAAGTTACTGATTGATCACATGTTGGTTGAGATTCGACTTAAAGAGTTATCTGTTTCACCGTTCATTGTCACGTTGAATGATGATCAAGTTGATTCTTTTCGAAGTTATGATATAGCTCCATTAGTGTGTTCTCAAGCCTTCCACGTAAGCAGAATTCATCGGCAATTGTGTATTCGAGCAGGATTTTGTGCCTTACGACTAGGATGTTTCCAGGGCGGCTATAACAGACGCTGATTAATGACCAGTTGGCAGTTATTGCGGTAGAAGCTGTGTGAAAATCGACATTACTATAACATTGTAATGCGCATGATTTCAAAAAGATGAGGTAAATAGATGCCTTAAGCACAAAATTAACTAGATTTATTAAGCAAGTGATCTATTCTGAATCTGAGGTAAAAGGATAAAGGATAAAGCTCTCGGCGTTCATCAAACCTTTAGGGATGCGCCATGCATTCGACTTTATTGAGCATCGTTTGGAGGTGAATGAACGTATATCTGGCCTTTATAATGACCCACGGTGCCTTACCGATGTATTGAGCCAATGCTTCTATCCTCCCAGAAAAATCTGGTACCAATTTGCCGACTCCGAAGGGATGGAAGGGTTGCTGAGCCACTGGCGCGGGGATCGATTCCAAGTGTGTGTTGCAGGGTGCCTCCTGCGCCACACGCGCCCAATCTGAGGTAACCGTGACCAAAACTCAACACCGATCGGTTCCTGACCAATGAAATCGATCTAGAAGTTTTCCACCAGCCGCAATAATAATTTTACCCATTCTATGCTCTTCGTGTAAGAAAAAGATATTCAGTCGAGTTCACTGCCTTTTCCGACCTTTTTCTTTAAAAGCGAATTTGTCACTCTATCTTTACATCTATCAGATAAAGTGATAGTAGGGCGAAAACTTCAGAAAAGGAAAATGAGTGAAGTTTTACACTGAAAGCATCATTCAACAGAGACATGTGACCATCTAATTTGGGTAGAAAGCTGAGAAATTTCGTCATAGACACTCTCATTAAACGTTTCTGTCTTCATCATTTCGTGAGTGGCTTGAGACTACGTGATACTAAAATATTGCTTAGAAAATGGAATAAACACAAGTATTTCCATTTCAGCGATTCGCCAATGAAGCATGGCATGAGATTCTGCAAAATACGAATCATGCGATGAACAATGTTCACAGCACAATTGGTGGCAGAGGGAAGAGATCGAATGAAGTCTGCAACTGTGTTGAAAGCTTGCATGAATGCCCAGCTGGTCGCCCCGGACCAGTAGGAGAACCTGGTAAAAGAGGTAGTGACGGAATTCCTGGAACTCCCGGCCACAAAGGTTACGATGCTCAAAAAATTTCCTACGAAACACCAGTCATAGGCTGTACACTGTGCCCTAGTGGACCACCTGGTCCACCTGGTTTTGATGGGCCAGTCGGATCACGTGGTGAAGTAGGATGGCCCGGAGCCATAGGAGTTGCTGGGAGACCCGGAGTTTACGGCAGACCAGGACAACAAGGTGAGCAAGGGATACCAGGCAATCCTGGGCACCCGGGACTGCCAGGACATCCAGGCGCTAACGGCATTAGAGCACGAGCTGCCAAGGGACCTCGCGGCAGTCCAGGTCCGATAGGTCGTGTGGGTGACAGCGGGATAAATGGCCCGGAGGGCACAAGTGGAAATCCAGGAAAACCAGGTCTCGCCGGTCCACCTGGTAAGGACGGTGAACGCGGACCCAATGGGGCTCCGGGATTGACAGGGGAAGCTGGGCCGCCGGGATTAGATGCACAGTACTGTGCTTGTCCGCTAAGGAGTTCTCGTACTGATCTATATGAAGCCGAAACACTGCCACCAACTCTTTCCACAGAAGCTGTAGGTGTCATTGCTACATAATCTTCCAACTGGGTAATAACTCGTAGAAAGCCAAGAGCTCTACAAAACCGACATTTTTTTTTGAAGCAGCTGTTTTAATTCTACTATGAAGGCAATATATGAAAAAGTGGTTGATAATATTAGATTCCATAACAATGCATTTATACAAGAATCATATTTCCATTTTTTAACTTGTAACCTTGTTAAATATTGTACGTCTTGAGACAAAAAAGTAAAGTTTCTGTCTGCTTCTTTTCTAGCTCACCCTCTTAAAGCAAGGAACATCATTTCTTTGGCATGAGAGCCAGGTCTTCTTAATACTTTTGGAGAGATGGTGTCCACGGCTAACCTACTTATCTATAGCCGAAAGGGATAAGCCCACGTGTGGTTTTCTGAGCCGGGCTAGCTCTCGCCTAGTAGATAGTAACCTAAACGATGGGAAAAAATTCTCGTCATTCTTATTATCTGAATATTTACGATAAGCCACTAATTTGGCATAGAAACACTTTCCGTAAAGTTTTGAGAGGTTTTGCTCACACTCAGTGCCCATCTCTTCCTCGCCAATAAAATCGAATGTCGCTAAAGGTTACCTAAAGTTTACTATGAGCATTTTCTGAAAACCGCAAATAATTATCACTCCTATATCACTGTAAACCGACTTTCGTTAAACCTCGCTATAAATGCCCAATGTACCTTGTTTACATGAAACGTTACAATGAAATGAAACGTTTTCAGTGAAGCGTTTCGATGAAACATTGTACATTGAACCTTTATACCGAGCTCTACTAAGAGAAGTCGCTTTAAATTAGATATTATTACGCTCTTTGCTAGCTGATAATGACACCGACTTCAGCAGGTTGGATTGTCCGCAAGGAACAAGTTGTTATCACCGAGCAACCACAGAAACAACAATCATCCTGTTTAAAGAGCATCACTAGGTGAGATAGCCTCCTTTGGGCGGTGTTCCAGTGAAGAATATCCGACTCGATATCACGACAAACACACCTCGTCGAGAGTATGAAGAGCTGCGGACATCGACTCAGATTATGTGCTCTGAGGAAGACGAAGACGTCGGAACACTAGCCGAATAAATATTTAGTAACAAATTGGTGTTAGTTTAATAATGAAACAAGGTATATAGCACTTATATCGAAATTAAGGAAAAGAAACAAGTATTTTTGGAGCACAGTGGTTAGAGGCGCTCTGTGCTGCACGTGGTCTTTTGCTCCTCTATACCGAGTTAACAAGCCCTCCATGCCATCGAGTTCGGGCAACTTGTACCATACCGGTGTTTGAGAACAAAAACAATCACTTGATGTACTAGTTCTTTCTTCTTGAGGAGGCGTGAGGATTTTAACAGAATATTTATTCCATAGTGACATTTTGATAAGTGCCGAAGTTAACAGGAAGTCGTTATAATGGCTTAATATATAGATAGGCTCCAAATCTCAAAAGCCTTTATGATGTTACGAATGGAGTGGAATGCAGAACTGTGGAAATGTATTCTTGGAGAATTGATCAACGCCGAGCAGTTTATTTTTATAACCTAAATCACTTAAGTTAAAACAACCATTGCAGCGGCTGTAAAACTGTAGCCGCGTGCAGTAGTTTTGGACGAAAAGCTGCACTTCTATAGAAGATAGGTCAACTAAAAATAAAGTTCGTCTTAATTTGCGTTTTATTTCTAACGAAGTGAGTCAAGATATAAAAGACGGCTTAGAAAGGACCGTTTAGAAAAATCGGTAGCAGTGGTTGAAATACCATCGAACACTCTAAGTGTTAAGTATGAAGGGACGAATGCATTCGCTATACAGGTAGACTACTCTGTATCCGTTTAAAAAAACATTCAGACGGTAGAATTAAACTTGAACGAGATCTGTTAACTTTTTAATTGCTGTCTACTACAATTTTTCATGGATGGTTATTCTGTGAAATACAGCTGTAATGATGCTGGGATATTTGCAAAACTCCGGACCACGGCTGTCTGGCCCAGGAAAGGGTAACAGCATGTTCGGTCCCGACCTCAGACACTTTCGGTCCAGAGTTTTCCAAATATCTCAGCACCATTATGGTTAAATCAAATAATCCACGAGAATACAAAAGGAAATAGAGACAAAATATGGATTTTGAAATGATAGTGCGAACAAAATGCATTCAAAACTCCTCGAGCGCATTGCATAAATTGCAAACAATTTCGAAACGAACCTCAGGAAGGAGTGCGTTGTCATCATGAATGACCTCGTCCTATACCTCAGGCCGATTTTTTAAACTAACACAAGGCGCGTTCCTAAGTTATGTAAACTCTTTGCTGTTGATCTCCGTCAACGCGTGAAAAACTCATAAAAAACGATGTGTGCTAAGAAGAAATGTTTCCCATGCGACTGGAATTTGGGTTCCGGGCTTCTTTGTTGAGGTTATGAAAGTGTAGCAAGAGTAGGTCACGTACCAGTTGTGCTTTGGAGAATCTTAAGAAAGCGAGATCCGCTGGACCATTAGCTAGTGTAAAATATACACTGTATTAACAACTTCGCTCCGATGTACTTTATCTGCCAGCTGACTGCAGGCATCTGGCCGAATGGATGTGAAGGATGAAAAACCGGTTGCGAACAAAAGCACTCCATCATTTTTACAGAGATATGATTATTGTGCAAAATGACAAATAAATCAGCATCAGAGGAATGAGTTAAGCCTTGGATCCACACGAGTCTTAGAAGAGATACATTTTTATCACCACTCATCGTCGCTTTTGACCCGTGTCTACCTCTACATTGGTCAGCTGGCGTACATCATGTTACCTTGTGATTTGCCGGTTTAAAATCCATCGTATTAAGCCAGTTCATAGAAATATAGCATGTTGGCACAAAAATCAATAAGATTGATAAGAGGCAGTTAGACGTTGTAAGCAAAACTATCCGATTTCTAAATTTCAACCTTTTATTTGATGCCTACTACAATTTTTCGCGTCATGGTATGATGTGAAATACTACACATAACGGTGTTGACATATTCGCAAAACTTAGACCACAGACAGACCGAATCACGATTACCTTTACGGGGGCCCACTTAATACCCACTGCACTACTGACACTGTTGCTTTGCGTTTCTCTCAGCTAGTTTTCCTACTTAACACTGACATCAGCAATCACCTGTCAGCGGGATTAATCTGGTGAGCACAAATCGGCATTGAACACAGTTAAGCTGAAGATGTAATCAAAATCACAATATTAACCTTTTATTTGCTGCCTATTATAAAAAAGAATGAACCTCTCCAAGTTGATCATTCTCTGAGAGATGCGCCATGCATTCAACTTCATTAAGCCTCATTTGGAGGTGATAGAATGTACATCTGGCCTTTACAATAACTCACGATGGCCTACCGATGGATCGAGCCAGTGTTGCCATCCTCCCAGACAAATCTGGTACCAATTTGCTGATCCGGGAGTGATGGAAGGTTTGGTGAGGCATGGGCGCGGGGATCGATTCCAAGTGTGTGTTGCAGGGCGCCTCCGACCACTGCACCGCATGTGCCCTGCTGTTTACTCTACTACTATAAAGTTATAGTAGTATAAATTTACAAAATTACAGTGGTGTAACTTTATAAAGTTGTAGGAGTATAAATCTATAGTACGCAGCAAATAGAAGGTGAACATTGTAATTTCGAATACTGCCCCAGCTTAACTGGGTTCAATGCCGACTTGTGCCTCCTAGATCAATACCGCCAATGAGTGATTGATGATGGCACCGTTAGGTAGAGAAACTAGCTGAGAGAAACGCAAATCAAGACCGTCGATGGTTGGTACAGTGTGTAATACGGGGGTCCGGGAAAGAGTAATCGTGGTTCGATCTGGCCCAGGGTCCAAGATTTGCGAATATCTCAGCATCGTTGTGTTTGTATCCCAAAGAAGTCTCATTACATGTGCGATGAAATCAAAACGCGGAACATGTGTAGGCAAAAAATTAGAAAAATTTGTGAAGGCATTGTTCTTCTGTTATGAACAGGATTTTCTCTTCATCCCCTCCATGTCGTGCCCCTCCTTCTCCGTGCTCGGAGGCGCTTTCAAGTAAGAAACGATGATATGTTATTGGTACGTTCACTTAAAACAACGTTATGAGAAGGAGATCGTGATTTTTATATGGAAGTCCAGCTAACAGCAAACGAATGCCAGGAATCAGCAAGGTCATTGGAACACACTTTTTGCAAGGCCGCAAGTATTACTCTGATCGACTTGGAAGGGCTCTCTAATGGCTCTAGCCTTAAGACTACAGAGAAGAGGGATCCTGCCCAAATAGTAAGCTATAGATTAGATGAAAATTCAGCAGAGGCAATGACGTAAGGTTTTTCGAAGGCAGCTAGTTCAAACAGCCAATTATGAAGTTAGCTACGAACTTTACAATCGATCTGACGCTCTAACATTAGAAATGCAATTCGATTAGCATGCTAATGACCTTAGGTGCACATACACATAATGACATACCATACTGACTACCTCAGCCTCAGAGGAGATTAGATGAGGACTGAAGGTTGTAGTCAATCGTCTGTGGGTGGGATAAGTGTCACCTACCGACGACGTTCATTCTCACCGATGAGGTGCTTCTTCCTTGTCTATGAATCACAGTAATGTTTTCCATAGCTTAAACGCATGCTTCGACGAGTTCATATCTATCGAAGTTATAGCCTTGTTACCTGTTTACTTTATCTTTTTCACCTTGTTTCTTTGTTTCTTCTTTCATCATTCGCTAACCCTTTATTATCACTACGCTCCGCTTTCTGAGATCATTAACTAAAATTTTCTCCATGTTTCCATCGTTTTTCTTAATTTCTCTTTTTTTTTAAGTCGATGCTACTGATAAATGTGTTTCCCGGGACCTTCGTGATCGCGCTCATGATTTAAAGTTGTTTACAATGTTGAGAAACTTTTTTGTTGACAAATGTGATGATGTTTTTCGCTAACGACGCAACACCGAACACGTGAACACCTTTTGTTTATCGTCGACATCCTCCCAGGCTTTTTCCAAATCAA